ACTACTACTACTACTACTACTACGACTACTACTACTACTACTACTACTACTACTACTACTACTACTACTACTACTACTACTACTACTACTACTACTACTACTACTACTACTACTACTACCACTACTACTACTACTACTACTACTACTACTACTACTACTACTACTACTACTACTACTACTACTACTACTACTACTACTACTACTACTACTACTACTACTACTACTACGGCTGCGATTACTACTACGACTACTCCCTCCCTGCGCTTCGGGCACGTATGCGATCCATAACGGTAGCGGCTTAGTGAAAGAGGCGCCGATGATACCTGGAACATGTTTGAGGAACGAAGTCGGCGGCGCAGAAGTCGGCAGTTCCATTGATGCTTATCCATGCCCCGCAGAGAGGACCGCACACGTGCCCGGAGCGTCCTCCTCCTCCTCCTCCTCGTTCTCCTCCTCCTCCTCCTCCGCCTCCTCGAGCCAGGAGGGGTGGCGGGAGACGGGCGCTGCGCGGGAGGCGGGGGCGGCTCGGCGCCCCATGAGGACAGACAGCTGGGCGCCCTGCATCTGGAGGCCGCCGGGGCTGCGAGGCTTCCCGCTCCAAAGAGGACGGGGCGGGGGCCTCGGCAACGCATAATTCAGCAGGGCTCATTCCGAGGTCTTGGATTCGATTCGATTTCGATGGCTTCCGATTCCGATTCGATTCGACTTCAGATTCTCTGATTCCGATTCGGATTCCGATTTCTCATTGAGGCCACACTACTCTGCCGATTTCCGCCGATTCGACTCCTCCCGACTTGGTTGCGGATTTCCGCCGATCCGATTTATGTCGATCGCCGATCCGATTCATCGATTCGATTCTGGGCTCTCTTGCCTCAGCAACGCATAACCCAGATCTCCGACGAGCAGTTTTGTTCCGCCGGTGTTGGTTCCTCAATATCGGCCTCCAGGGATTGTCATCGACTATGGATCCCGAGCGGAAAACCAGTCCCCGGGGAATAGATCCAGACCTTTGTGGTGGTCGACGTTTGAAACAACATGGCGTCGGAGGTCGGTTGGGGGCTCCGCATCGTCTAACCGATTCCATCCCCACTGGGCCATGGTATCCTAGCCCCACAACCCACGGGAAGAACATCTCCCCCCACCTGGAAGGGTGAGTCGGCCAGTGGGGCCAAGGCTATGCCAGTGGGGATGGGGATCGGTTTTGCACGATGCTCATTGGCGACGCGCGCAAGGTGGTGGCGCGGGGGGGGGGGGCCTTCTAAGAAGGCGGGGGGCTCCTCAGAAGGCGGGGGCATTGGCAGGAGGGATTGCAGACTGCTGAGAAGGCTTCTTAGAAGCCGCCAGGCTTTTGAGAAATCCCGTGAGGCTTCTGAGAGATTCCTTGCCTTCGTAGAAGGCCTCCAGGCTTCTTGCACCCCTGCCCACCTCCGCGCCACCCCCTTGTGCACGCCGTCAGGCGGTGGGGGCGGTCGTGCAGCCATGACGTGCTCCCACTTCGGGCGGAGCTTCGAGGTCCGAGGATCGAGGTTGGAGGATCGATGGTCGAATCTGATCGAGGATAGAGGATTGAGTTCCGCTGTTATGCTTCATGTTGGTCTTGCTGTCTGCTCTTGGAGGTGCTATCGCCTCGGGATGCTATCCAGCACCTGCGCCTCGCCGGGAGCGTTCCAGGGGCTGCGCAGATCGTCCCCAGCGGCCACCAGAGGCCCGAGCTGCGGACCGAAAGCCAGACTTGGGCGGGTCGGATTTTCCAGTCCTCGATTTCTCGGGGGCCGATTTCGGGCCACAGGGCCATCGAGAAATGAACCCCTGGCGGGGACATCCCCGGGGAAGTGGTCGGAAACCACTGGGGCCGCGGATAGGACAAAACACATTGTTGGATGTGTGGGGGGGAGAGGGCAGAGACATGTCGATAAATATATATATATATATATATACATATATATATATATATATATATGTATATATGTGTGTGTACGAACACGGGTTATGTGAACCATCGTGGGCCCAACACAGAAATTTACCCAGAACAGTAAGTTATTGCACGGTGGATGTGTAGGCCATGTGGTCCAGTATCCATGGGGCAAGCTAGAGGTGGCTTCGAAGCGGGAGCGGGAACGGTCTGCAACGTGGCGAAGCCTCGCCAGACCCAGCGCACGAGGCGGCCACGAGACGGCAACGGGCTGCAACGTGGCGAATCTTTGCCGAACCTACCCAGCACACAAGGCGGCAATGAGGCGGCAACGGGCGGCATCGTGGCGAAACCTCGCCAGACCCACCTAGCGCGCGAGGCGGCAGCGAGGCGGCGACGGACGGCGAATCGGCGAAACCTGGCCAGACCCACCCAGCGCACCCGGCGGCAACGAGGCGGCGACGGATGGCAACGGGGCGAAGTTTCGCCAGGCGGCAAGGAGGCGGCAACGGCTGGCACCGTGGCGAGATCCACCCAGCGCACGAGGCGGCGACGGGTGGCAGCTTGGCGACACCCCGCGGGACCCACCCGGCGCGCGAGGCGGCAACGAGGTGGCAACGGGCGGCCACGGGGCGGAGCCTCACTGGCCCAGGCGTCGAAGTGTCGAAGCCTTGCTGGATCCACCTGGCGCAGGAGGCGGCCCTGAGATGGAAGCGAGGCGGCAACGTGGCGAAGCCTCGCCGGACCCAAGCAGCGCACACGGCGGCAACGAGGTGGCAACCGGCGGCATCGTGGACACACCTTCGCCGGACCCAGCCAGTTCCTAAGGAGTCAAGTGCTAATTTCTACGTTAAGCGCTGCTTGTGGATGGTAGATGGTTGGTAGATGTAAATGTCGACAGGCCTAGATTTTCAGAGAGAATGAGAAACAGACAGACAGAGAGAGAGACAGAGAGAGTGAGAGTGTGAGATACGCCATGTATATATATATATGTATATGTATATATATATATATTACTAGCGAAAATGGACTGTTGCCCAGCGTGGGCCCAACAAAGTGAATAGGCACCTTCGGTGTATAAGCTACGTGGTGCAAATTGTGTTGCACAGGCTCTGCGGTGCAAGCAGTGCGCGCTGCAAACGCTGCGGTGCAAGCTGCGAGTGGTCCAGGCCACGCTGTGCAGGCCATGTGTGGTTCTCGCTGTGCGTGCAAGCTGTTTGATGGAAGCTGTGTGGTGCAAGCTGTGTGGTGCAAGCTGCGTGGGTTAAGCAGAGGGGTGTCCTGTGGTGCGAGGGCAGCTGGTCTGCAAGCAGCGCGCGCTGCAAACGCTGCGGTGCAATCTGCGAGTGGTCCAAGCCACGCTGTGCAGGCCACGTGTGGTTCCCGCGGTGCGTGCAGGCTGCTTGATGGAAGCTATGTGGTGCAGGCTGTGCGGTGCAAGCTGCGTGGGTTAAGCAGAGGGGTTCCTGTGGTGCGAGGGCAGCTGGTCTGCAGGCAGCGCGAGGCGCCCCCGAGGCGCGCTTGGCCGCCCACCGGGCGACACCCCAGGCAGGCACACAGCAAGCGCAGGTGGGCGCCCAAAATGGCGCCCACAGAGCGCCAGATATGCGTGAAGCCTCGGCCCTTGACACACGAACGACCCCCCCGCCCCTGGTCATGCACCTCTCTCTCTCTCTGCCACGTGTGCCTCATGCCTGCACGCGTGCTGCACACAGAGGCTGCGGTGGGGGAAGGAGCAGGTGCGCGTGGTTCGCACCCAGGCTGGGGGCGAGGCGACAGTGTAGCTTGTCCACGAGAGGGCGACTGATGGAGACCATCAGGGTCCCCGTGGTCCCGATTTGACACTGGTGCGTCCAAGCCTATCTTATGCAAGGCCGTGTGTGTTCTCTCGTTTGCTTCACTGCTGCGGTGGTGGTAGTGGACGAGCCCTGGCATCGCTCGGACGTGTGCATTTTTCCTTCGGCGAGGACCATCGAGGAGCATCCTTGACCATTTGGCGAAGAAACCACGCACGAATCCGAACAAAAGCACACGGAATGGACGTCCGAGCGATGGCGAGGAGCTGGCGCACTAGATCACGGAACGAGCCATGCAGGAGGCGAAGGAGGCGGGCCATCCTGGAGGTCACACGGGGCGTTCCAGACAGGGCCTCGCCTGCGAGTGTTCGGGGACTGGACATCTCTTCCTCCTCCTCCTCCCCCCCCTCCCCCTCCTCCTCCTCCTCTCCTCCTCCCCCTCCTCCTCCTCCTCCTCCCCCTCCTCCTCCTCCTCCTCCCCCTTCTCCTCCTCCTCCTCCTCCTCCTCTCCTCCTCCTCCTCCTCCTCCTCCCCCTCCTCCTCCTCCTCCTGCTCCTCCTCCGCGGAAGGCGGTGGGAGGGCTGCAGAAGCCTGCGGAAGTAACATGTGGGCAGCTCCGTTGGCGGAAGGCCGGCGAAAGCAAAACAACGTTCCCCAAAGAGATGCAGGCTTTCGTTGGCTCGGGGTGCCAGGAACGGGCCGCATGGACGGATCATTTGAGGGACGCGGCGGCAGGGACGCTGAGGGAGCCAGCAGGAGGGCACGGCGAGAACGACGGGACCAGCTTCAGGAGGTCCTCATCCCTACCTTTCCTTCCTCCCCTCACTCCCCCAGGAGGTGCGGGGAGGAGGGGAAGGCCCAGATCTCCGGCACCGTGCCGTGGACCCCCCAGAAATCGAGACCCACTGCCCCGGGGCCCGTGCTTCCTCTCCAGCCGCTCCCTGACGGCACCGGTGTCCCGGCGGAGCCCCTGGAGGCCAACGTCTGTCAACGGCCCCCCGCTGCGATCTGCTCTCGAGACGGGAGGATAAAACAGGGCTAGGATCGGGATAAATCGCTCCAGAGCGTTCCGGAGCGCTCTCAGAGCGTTCCGGAACGCTCTGGAGCGGCCGCGGCGCCCGATACATCCTCCAAACCCGCCGATTCTCAGCGATTCGGAGTTATCCCGATCCGATTTTGTCCCGATCTTCGCGTCGTTTTAGAGGAGGTCCCTGGAAGCAGCACGGAAGCGCGGCAGCACGCCGAGGGCGGCGGCGGCGCGCGTGGCCACGGGCCCTTGCCAGCAGCGCGGGAGGGCGGGCCAGGGCGTCCCAGAAGCCCGGCGACAGGGCCGACGCCTTCCCGGGCGTGGGCAGGCCGCGCCGGCCCCCCGGCGGGGCCGCAGGGAGCACAGAGGAAGCTCGGGAGGAGGAAGGGGCACCCGCACCTCCACCCTCTCTCTCCTCGCTTTTTCCGCTCTGAAGGGGCCTCCGGGGCACCTCTCGTCGCCACCGCCGGATTCGCCTCGCAATCCAGCGGTGAGAACGCACCCCGGGAGACGTCGAGGGGAGAGCAGCGGTGTCGGCATCTCTTGGTCTCCGCAGGCACGGAGGCGGGGAGGGGGCGTGGGCACGAGGCTCCGGCGGAGGCAAGCGGCGTGGACAGCCATCGAGGAAGGAAGAAACGTCACAGACATGCGGTGGAGGCGTCTGTGAAGGACTAGTCCCAGGAGGCGCCAGACCCTGGAGGATTCTTTATCTGATGAGGTCGGCAGTGATATGCACGGCCAATCCACAATTGGTGTTCCACCAGCTTCCAGACCCTGGACTCCCTATACAATGGTTCCTTATCCAGTGCCCTCACAGTAAACTGTTGGCGCTCCGCGCGGGTTGCTTGGCTCCGCGCCTCCGGCGCCGCCCCTGTCGTGTTCCGCGCGCCAGGGGGGGGGTCCAGCACAGATGCGAGAAATCCGGGCGGAGCGCCAAAAGTCAGTGTTTATGCTGGTTGTTCTTCTGAGGCAAGGGCCGGGCATAGGCAGGCTGCCAGAGACAGGGAGCAGGAGGAGGGAGGAGGAGGAAGCAGGAGAACGGGTGCTCTTATTCCAGACGAGGACTCAATACAGGACGGGCTGGGAATGCACGCGAAAGTCCAAACAAGGCGTCGCCTCCCTGGGTGCTGGCGACTGCGCAGTTGTCGTTTTCGCCACTCTCGCGATATCCTGGGGGGGTTCAGCGGAGCGTGGCGCTACGCAGACACACGCAATACCATGCCCTCTCACGGTGCTGCCCACCGTTCAGGTGTCGCCACTTTCGTGATCTCCTGGCTGGTCCAGCTGAGCGCGGTCCCACACAGACCCAAGCGAGACCCCGCCGTCCCTGACTTGCCTCCGTCTGCGCAGCTGTCATCACGTCCGGAATCTCCTCAGAGTTCCGAGGGGATCCCCCCAGGGGCGTCGCCCCCCTAGGAGCGACGCGCGCCCCGGAAAATCTTATAGTGGACGCGTCGTGGCTGGCGCTTTCTGGCCACACCGCTCGGGAAACAATGTGCAAAGATATATGGGTGTACTATATGTTCGGGTCGGACGCGCGGAGGAGGTCTAGTACTAACATGTCTTCGTGCGTCCCACGCAGAACCAAACGAGACTTCCCCCTCCCTGGGTGCTGCCAGCGGCGCGGCCGTCGTCACTTGCGTGAGGGTCGTGGGGGCCTCGCGCAGAGCGCGGTCCCGCCCAGACCCGAGCGAGACCTCGCCTGTGAGCTGCCAGCCGCACAGCTGTCGCAACTTTCTGGGGCCCCCAGTCAGTTGCACAGCTGTCGCAACTTTCCGGGGGTCAGGCATGCCCACAAGCCTCGTCACAAAGATTGTGGAACGCCGTTCAAAATCGAAGCGCCCGACAGTTCGGGCAGTTGTCAGAAAATGCGTTCTTCGATGCTGCGAGGGCACTGCCGGATTTCGGGTACCCCTGCACGTGAGCCAAATGCCTCATGCCAGCATTGACGTAGCGCCGACCGCGCAAGAAATCGTCAGTTTATGCTTGACGAGTCTTTTAGGATCGGGATAAATCGCCCCACAGCGTTCCAGCACGCTCGGAAACGGCCGCGGCGCCAGATGCAGCTTCCAGAACCGCCGCCACATCTCAGAGATCCCCGATGCATGCCAATCCGACGTTGTCCTGGTCCTGGTTTCGTCAAGCCTGTGGGGGGCCAGCAGATGGGCCGTCCGCACAGGTCCAAGCTGGACCTTGCCCTCCACTGGGTGCTGCCGGGCGCGCACTTGTCGCCGATGTGTTGCACCCCCCCCCCCGGGGGAGATTCCAGCGGAGGGCGCCCCACGCAGTTGCAATCGGGACCTCGCCATCCCTGAGTGCTGCCAGGCGTGCATCCCTGGGTGTACTACGCTTGGTCGATCTGTCATTTGGTTTTCTTGTCGTTTGGCTGAATCCCAATTCGGCTCATGGGCTTGTTGTCTAAATTGCTGGTTGGCTGTTAAACTGGGCCGTTTGCTGGCTGGGTTGATGCCCAGAGGGGCGCGCTTTCATTGTGATGCACAAGGATTCTCGGCTTCCTGAGCGCCGACCCCCCGATGGTTTTGGTATGTGTGTGTGTATCTAGACGCATGTATGCAATCACGAATTAGGAACGTCTCTTGCATTACATATACCAGGCCGTTTTGGGTCAAGACATTCCGTCTCTGGTCCGCGTCTGTCGCATTCTGCCGAAGACTCGCGTATCTGCTACTTCCGCCCAATATCGATTTTGCCTAACGCGGAATGGGTGCGTGTGTCGCAAGGGTCAGAGCTGAGCTCCATCTCCAGAGTCTTGACTATGATGAGTTCGACAAAGGTGAGTGGATTGCCATGTTCGGGGCAAGCAGCAATCTTCGTTGCATGCAGAACCCAAACACATATTACACCTTCGAGCTTCTACAAGCTCTAACGGTCACAGGAATATGGATATGGGGCTTCGTAGACGGTTGCGGTATGAAATTCTTTGTATATTTGACTTATTGGAGCCTCACTGGGCAACTCTTATACGTGTGGCTGGATTTCTTCACCGCTTATGCCAGGGCCTGCGGCAAACCGTTTCACTGCGCAATAGCAGAATCGAAACGCATGCAGGGTGGTCATGCTGATGTTTCCAAACAAGCTCGGTGGAGCCACCTTGGGCGTCCAGGACACCTCTCGACAGCGCTGTAGCTTATTGCACTCGTACTGTTGGGCGGTTGGTAAATTGCGTTTTGTAGAGTTCTTGAAAGTTTGGCTCATGTGAGGCGCATCGGGGGCCTCTTTGGAGCATGTTGAGGACAGGGCTTGACGGGAGATGTCCTTCCCGAGGCCGTTTTGGGTACCATGGCTTTCATTCTCGAATGGGATTCCGTAGGATTCTCTCGGGGTAGTCTGGGCGTGTCTTGGAGCCTTGTTGGGGATGTCTAGGCCTTGGCCGTTTTCGGGTGTTTCTTGGCCGTCGTGGGGCCATCTTGGGGCCACCTCGGAAACTGTTGCGTCTCTTTGAGGCCTTCCATCTTAAGCCAAAAAGCTTTGTAACCAAACACATTGACACCCAGTGCGTGTGTTTCCAATGCTACTGGCCTCATAAAGGCCTCGCCGAGAACAACGTTGCGCGTCTCTTTGGGGCTTCCTCAGATTTCTTCGGACCTCTTTGGGCTGTTGGCACCTTCTGGGGGTGTCTGGCCTTTGTAGGCTGGCATGGGTGCTGACTGGTCGGCTCTGGACGCAGTCGTGGAGCTCTCTGGGGGCAACCGTGGCGCGTTTGAGGATGCTGATTTCTCTGCTCACCCGGGCGAGGGTGTGGGCCGCTTCTAGCGAGATTACAAGAAACCCTTGAAGACAGCTTACAGGCATTCTACAGTAAGCAATACGCTCCATCGTGTCGACGGCACTTCGGCGGATATGGCTACCGAGATGAGTGCTGGCAAGCGCCCAGTCGTGAAGCGGATACCCTTGTATGCCCAGGCAACGTGGTGTCTTTTTGACATGTTGTTGCCCACGACGTTTTTGGTGTTCGTGCTTTATTTCTGTCTGGTGGTGAATTGGGACTACCCACCTACACGCACACTATCATATGTCACTCATGGTGGTAATTTCGCCTTGATGATGTTGGACGTTATCTTCTCCAGGAAGCCATATTATTTGCTGCATGGGTTATATTTCGCCCTCGAGGCGTTCGTATACATCTTGTTCACGTACCTTTACTTTTTGGCAGGCGGCACCGATTGCGACGGAATGCCTTACATCTATGGTGTGTTGGACTGGGGGGGTAAATTTCGCCTTGCTGGGACTGTTGGGGGGATGGTATTTTTCGTAGTTGCGCCCGTCGTGAATATCATGTTCTGGTTGCTTGTATCTTTCTGTTTCCCGGGCTTACGCCCCAGACCCGACAAGTCAGTTGCGTCTCTCGAGCTGGCTCGTCGGGGCCACCCTCCCCTGACGCCTCTTAGGTAGTCCGTGACGATATCGCCGCCTTGCAGAAAGTTGCTGGCCTTCGTTGCAGTTCAGCGCGTCCGCACGCAACGCAAGCGGATTATGCGACTGATGTGTTCCCAGACATGATCGCGCCGTTAAAAACCAGGAGGGAGGCTTTTGGCTACCTTCGGCCCCGGGGGGCCCTCGCTGGGCCTCGGGACCTTCGAAACACGATTTGTGACAAAAACAGGTCCCGGGGAAAGGGACGCCGTCCTGAAAAAGTCAGGACGTCGCATGTTTGGAGTCAGGGCATGGACAGGTTTCACAATTCAGCTGGAGTGCCTGTACCTTTTTGCTCGACAGGTTTGTCAGAGCCCGTCTCGGCAGAGCCACGTCCGAGGCCTCGTCACCGAGGCACTCGACTCTTTGGCACGGGGCTCGCCTGGAACCCCCTGCACGGCGCGCCGCTGGGAGCCCGACCTGCTCTCCGACGCGGGCGCGGGCGATCTCACCTCGATCTCTGGGCGACCTGCTGCGGCCCAGGTGCCTGCACGCCGCTGCCAACCCGACCCGATTCGACACCGACTCGATGTGGGCCCGTCCTGATCGGCCTGTTTTCCACCACCACCACCATAAGTTGGAGGGGGAGGGGGTCCTCCTCCTCCTCCTCCTCCTCCTCCTCCTCCTCCTCCTCGTCCTCCTCCTCCTCGTCCTCCTCCTCCTTCCCCCTCCAACTTATGGTGGTGGTGGTGGTGGAAAACACGCCCATCACGTCCGGCTCCCATCCCGATCCGATCCGATTCCCCGGGCAGACGCGGCTGACAATTGTAATTCTTTACGCTTCGCGTATCCCCACCAGCCCATCTCACAGCAGCAACTCTCGCGAAGCATGCCGACAGTCGTGTTTTTCAGGCGTGTGTCCGCTTGGCCCCGCATATCTCCCCTGTTCCTCCTTCCTCCCGCCTCCTTGTACATCCTCCTTGTGGGGGGAGCGGGAGACGGGGCTTCGGTGCGTCGCGCGGGCCGGCGCCGCCGCCCTGCCGGGGTGGTTCGGCCGGGAGCCGTTGGCTCGGAGCGGCAGTGCGCCCGTGGAGGGCCGAGTCCAGCGGGACAGGCCGAAAACAATAGCGAGAGAGCACGGCACTGCCGCACGATCGGCGCCACCAGAAGTGGTGCTCCGAGTGCGTCGCACCGAGGGGGCGACGCGCACGCCGAGGCTCAGTTAGGGTAGATGCTCCGCGGCGGGTGCCTTCTGCCCGCGCCGCGCGGCAGACGAGGTGTACTGCAAGATGGAGGTGCAATATGTTCGGGTCGGACGCGCGCCTCCGAGGAGGACACGTACAGTCAACCCGCACAGCAGGGGTGATCGGTTTTCTAAGGTTACCCTTGCGTCCTTCCCCCTCGTCCCATCCTTGGCCGCTCTCGCTGGCCGCGCCCCGCTCGCAGCGTGTCGACGTGGCCTTCCCAGGCCCTTTTGCATCCGTATCGTGCGCCCTTATTACCCTGGTTGGATGTAGCACTAGTATGCCCCTCTGTGTCCCAGAGGACGGCATTGCCTGTTGGCGTTCATCAAGGGAGGAAACCACCCGGACCCGTTAATGGCGTTTGCTACACGGCCCTAGGCATTTACTAACTAGCCCTGCCCTGTTCGATTGCTTTTTGTCGGTGCGTTTACTAAGCCGCTTCGCGTGTCGGGGTGACTATTCTGGGGGTCTGCTCTCTAGATCGGAGGGGGGGGGGGGACGCCGCCAGCGCAGGGGGCTCGCCAGGGATGCCACCACTCCCGGGGGCTCGGCTCGGGCCCCCCGGAGCCCCCACGGGCGCGCGGGCGCGCGGCGCGGAGTCCACGCATGCGCTGCCCTCGTGGACTTCGCCACGACCTCTCTTGAGTATCGCAGGGCTCGCTTCGACTCCTCGGGTTCGATCCGATCCGGTTTCGATTCGACACTGATTCGGTTCGATTTCGGATTCAGCTCTAGATTCATATTGTCCATGGAGGCCTGCGTGCCTGCCGAATGCCGCCGATTCGACGTCTCCCGACTCGGCGGACGCTTGCCGCCGATTTCGTTTTGATCGCCGATCCGACTCGTCAATTCGAGTCTGGGATCGCCGGGGATTGTGTGCGTAGTAGCAGCGCCGCGAGTGGAGTCGTTACAACAAATCCGCGCAGACCTTGGGATGTGTGTATGTGTTCGTGTCGTTGTTTCGTTTTCTCTCCTCTTCGACGTCAGCGCCGCGCAAGCCACGATTCGAGCCGACAGTAACACTAGTAGCCTGCTTCAGCCCCTCGTTAACCCTTGTCCCTCCTCTTCCTCCAATACCTTCTCCTCTGATGCCTATCTTAGGTGTTCGATCATGGACCCTTTGCTCACCGCAACCGTCCAACTTTCGAGCCGAACACCGCCGAAGACCGCTGGAAACCGACGAATACCGCCGAAGACCGTCAGAAGACAGTCAGAGGAGCGCAGAAAACTGCCGAACACCGCCGAAGACCGCGAGAAGATCGCCGAAGACCGCAGACGACTCCCCAAAGATGCCCAGGGCCAGTGGATAACAAGGGGTCCATCGTCGAATACGTAACCTACAGTGGAGACCCATGCCAAGAAACACCCTGCTTGCCTCCAGGATGCCCTGGGTTTCCTAGGTTTCGATGGTTCTGCTATGAAGCGCGCGACGCTCCCGCACCAAAAGTCAGTGGACGCCCTGGGGTCTCAGGGTTGGGTTTACTGTGAAAGGTTTCTTGTGGTCGAGCTCCTACTGCAACAAGGTGTCCATCGTCGAATGCGTAACGTCGTACGTGTCCATCCCCTGTTATCTTCTCAGCGCTCTGAGCCCCCCGTCCGTCTCCCCCATCGGCCTCCCTCCTCGCTCTCCCTCATTGCACCTTCTTTCTCCCGTGTGCCGTCCTCCTTCCTTCTTCCTCCCCCCCATCCCCCCCTTCTCTAGAATTGCAGAGTAAGAGCACGACTCCCCTCTCTTTCTCGGTGTCTATCTCTGTCTCTCTCTCTCTCACACACCCGCCCACTAATCACTTACATCCCCTATTGATCCTCGTCCACCTCTCGTCCCCCTGTGCCTCTGCTGCCTTGTCTCGCCCGCTGCCGTTTCTGACCGAGGCATCTCAGGGAAGCAAGGTACCCATTGCACCCTCATAGTACCTTAGCCTGGTGCCCCCTCTCGACGAGAGGGCCTGGTTCACGTCTCAGACAACATATTGTGGTATGGCCTCTGGGCAGGAGCAACCACTGTCTCTCTCAGTCTGGATCGACACCGCTGGTGACAGCGACTGGGATCCAGAGATCGGGCGACGTCTTTTGCGACGCGGTGTCTTTCTTCTATTTGTTTGTGAATCATTCTACGCATCCATATTGTTTGTGGCTTTTGGCTGTAGCGAGTTTGCGCATGCATTCCCCCCATCGGTATGCTGAGTTTCCTCGACGTCCTAGCGGTTGGCGGCGCGGCGAAGCTTACACGGCAGTACCTGGGACCGCGTCAGACATGGCTGGCTCAGTTGCATCCGGCGCCCGTTGGCTTCTGCGACTCCCTCCCGAGTCTCACTTCCAGCTTGGCCATACAGGAGGGGATGACAGTCAGGAGGAGAGGTTCCAGGCGTCACAGATGCTGGCGGCACGCGCCTTGAGTTCACCACGGGAGGAGCTATGGGACATCGTGGTGATGCATGCCGACAGCCACGCGGACCGTCAGGGCGACCTCGTGGCCTCGGCTTCTCGCAGTCTCTGGTCGGTAAGCTCGTAGCTACAGGTGAATAGCAGGAGCGCGTAATGTTCCGTTGGCCGCTCCCGCTCAGATATGCCGGGGACCACAGTTTTGTTCTAGCCGTGATGCGTGGAGTTTTGTATCGTTCGGCAGGTGTCTCGCAGGAGGATGCCGCAGCCAGGCTACGTCTTCGGATATGGTCACAGCGATCCCACAGACGTGCCATTCCCCGCGTCGTCAGTCGCCGATCGATCTAGCTTGAGCATGTAGCTGGACCGTCCAGGCCCTCCGTCCTACCGCTGCGAGGTGTTTATTTGTAGAGTGTGGTCAGCTTTGCGCTGGCCATGTTGGCGATCCTCCGCTTGCGGCGGGCATGGGCCCAGCGCCGCATCCCGAGGTGGGCCAGACAGGTTCTCGACGTGGCAGCCCCGGACTTACGTGCAGCCGTAGCAGATTGGGATCACCCGCTTCTTCACCATCTCTTGCGTTGCTTCCTTGGTCTTCCGCAGACGGAGGTGCCGGCAGTGGTGTGTATACTTGGAAGCCATGCTGGGCTGTATATGGGCCAGGCGGCGCTCGGGAGTACCGCGCTGCCAGGTCTGGGACGCGTGGCTGACGATGTCAGGGCGGCGCTCCACCCGACGGCGGGGCCAGGACGCCGCCTACGCTACCGGGTCCTTCGGCGCAGCCTGGATTCGTTTTTTGTCCTGCCCTGCTGCTGCGCGCGGAGAAAGCCAGCTTCCACTTCGAGGCCATTGCGATAAGACGCTACGGGCCCATGTGCAACGTCGAGGGCTCCCTCCCTGGAGACGGAGGCGACCAGTCGGAAGCGGGGAGCAGGTCAGCTCCACGCGATGCAGAAGTCCCGCAGGTTTATGCGCAAGCGCCCGCCGTCATGGAGAAGAGGCAGCCGTGCTTCGTCAAACTCGCCAGTGTGCTCTCGCCAGGACGCAGCTACCCAGAGACAGGGCAAGAGATCGCAGCCGCGTATCCAGGGCCCCAGTCGGAACCCGCGCCCTTCGGCACCTTGCATCGAATGCATCGCGGAGGATTACCACCTCACGGGGAGGTCGGCCCGCTGTGGATCCTCGAGGGTCGCCGCCTAGGTTTGCTGTTGACATTTCTCGCGGCCAAGTGGATGGCTCTCCCGCTGTGCACTCGCATCGGACGGCTAAAGCTCGGGGTCCATCTGTACTTGGCAGCGTCGATGGCTGGTCGCATCCTCAAGTCCTTCCACGGGCAGTGCATGGCCACGCGCCGCATCGGCATGCATCTGCGGAGGCCCCGCCTTCCGAGTGCCCGTCGGCCCCCCCTGCAGCTTCCAGCCGTGTTTCAGGAGGTTGAGTGCCGCAGGTGGGTTGGAGCCTCTACAACCTACATGGCCAGGACAATGAAGTTTGCGCCTGCGCGGGGGATATGCCAGCGTCCACCTCGGGCAGTCTGTGCAAAGATGCCCTGTTGAATGGATGAGGTCTCTGCGGGCTGCTCTTGTGCCGAGTATACATCGAGTGCTCTACCTCGCCATCCTGAGGGGCCACCTTCGGCTTCGCGGCGTCTGCAGCGCTCGGGTGGGCCCCGGCGCCTTCCCGCGTGGTCTCGTCCACGCCGCGCCATGCGCGGGGCCCGAGCAGCGCTCGATCTTTGGGCCGCGAGGACACGGATTCCACAGCGAGTCCTACGGCGTCAGTTTCGGCATCTTGGGCAGCGGCTCCGTCGCAGGCGGGTCGCGCCCCAGGCGGCCCCCGCGCTCTGGCAGGAGGTGGGGCAGGGCATGACCGACATCCTCGACGAGCGCAGCGAGTGCGTGGTCATTGCGGACGGCAAAGAGTGCGACAAGGTGCGGGCCTGCGATTGGTGTGACATGATGATGTACCTCCACCAGCTCGCGATGGCGGGGCCCGAGTGGGCCATTCGGCCCGACGTGTCGCCGCATGACGCGGCAGGGTGGATGTGGGGCCGCGCGGCGACGGCCCTCCCAGCGCGGCTGTCCACGCTGCGCTACCTGCCACCGCTGTCGGCGGACACGAAGCCGCAGCATGTCTTTCTTACGACCACAGGAAGATGGCTTCCCCCGTCGGTGAACGCACGTTTCACAGGCTCTTCCAGCGTTGCTGTCGCCGCGCTGTGAAATGCTCGTCGGCGCCGGGCGCGTGAGGCTTTTGAGTCATCGGTCGGGCAGCCCGTGACCTGTCGTCGCGCAGTGGTCTCATTGCAGCAGTCTTCGATGCGAACCTGGCAGCTGCTGAGTTCCGGCAGCTCAGAGGATTTTTGCCTTAGAAGTTCGTTGTTCCCGGGCTATGTCAGAGATCAGCGTCATCGTTGCAGATGCCGATCAAGCTTTTGAACAGCGCAGTGCGTCAACGATCTCCGAGCCAGGGTTTGTTCGGAGGCTGGGCGCGGGCGCGACCCGCGTCGAACAGTCGCGCGTCCCCCAGACGCTGCCGTGGACGGGCTCGGCCCCCCCTGGATGGTTCAAGATTCCAGTATTCGACATGCACACAGCTCTGGTTGCCTTTTTCCTCGGTGTTTCTGGTATCGCTGGCTGGCATCATTGCAAAATGCGGGGCTCACCGATTGTGCGTGTGTGCTTCCAGGAGTGGCCTTTTTGTTGTCATCGCGTGCTGGTTTGGGGTTCAAGCTCAAGGTGATGGGGCTCGGCTGGGCGCTGCTGGATTCCGGCGGCCCCCCGGTCGCGAGAGGCCCCCAATCGGCCATTGCCGCTGCGCGCGCGACATCTTCAGCTTGATCACGCACTAATGTCGTCCATGTACTTGTGATTATTTTGGAAAGATCCACCCTGCGCGCCTCGGCCCTGCATCGAGCACCGAGGGCCCGGTGGAACCGCGTCGCGCCCCCGAAGAACACCAACATGCCGCGGCTATCAGGCGAAGTGAGTCCCCGCCCTCGGGCCAGTATCATCACGCGGCCAGGCCAACCCCGCAGGGAGTTCTCGAACGTGCTTTCCTCGTTCGCCCAGAGCCTCGAGCTGTCCATAGGAGCTGCCGCGGAGTGGGCTCTGGAGCTGGCCGTAGAGCTATTCCTCGCGGGGTGCCCCCCCGACCTCGCCCCGGCGGCCGCCCGCGCCTCTACGCGGGGCGTCTCTGCTCGGAGGGCGCGGGCAGCGCCGCGCAGTTGGCGGCGCCGCTTCAGACATCCGACGCGCGACCCTCAGTGCACCGCGGGAAGGGCTACGAGCGTCGCTGGGGCAATTTGTCGCGCAAGAGCAGCAGTGGCCACGACAAACGCGATCGCGATCGCGACCATGATCGGCGAGGCCATCGGGGGATTAAGCGCGCCCGCGACCGCCAGGATCGTGGCCACGGTGCCAGGAAGGACCGCAAGGACTACACCCCTGACTACGATCGGAGTCGCGCCCGCGGACGCGGTCGCGACCGCCGCGACGACAGCAGCCGCCGCCGCGACAGTTCCCGCCGGCGGGGCGACCAGGCGGAGATCGTGTCCCTTCGCAAGCAGCTCGGGGCCAAGGCGAAGAACGACAAGGAGCGCGCCGCGCTCCTCCAGGACAAGAGGTGCCGCGAGAGGGAGCTCGAGCTGCGCGAGCATGGTGAGTATGTGGCGTCGGCCGTACCGTCCGCTTTCAAGAGCCAGACCGAGGAGTTCCGCAAAGTTCTGGCGCCAGATGGGTGCCCGCCCACGCCCGCAGCTCGCTCGGCGCCCCCGCGGCCTGGCTCGTCTTCTTAGCTGCCGCGATCGGAGCTAGGTCGGGCCCAGACCATCGTGAGATCGAAGACGAAGCTGCCCCCCATGGGCAGTCGCGGGGAAGTTCAGGCGGTCCTGGCCAAGACGCTCGCTTCGGACAAGCATGCCCCAGGCTCCGCTCGCAAGGTCATCCTCGCCAATCTCCCTCGGGAGCAGCTCCCAGGCTCACGCGAAGACACGGCCGCAATCCCCATTGATGTTGTGCTTGGAAAGCTGGGGTGGGCCGTGGCATCCGACAACGCAGCCGAGCATCTGCGCGGTGTGCTGGGCGAGCCAGGAGTGCAGTCGCAATTGCAATGATGTGTTCTCTCGTTCTTCGCGGGGGTCATCGCCGGCTCTTTCTGTGCGTCGTCTTTCAGATAGGGGGACCCGACGCATTCAAAGTTCTCAAGCCTGATTGGGTGCTGAATTTGTCCCATGTCCGTGAGGCCCTTGCTATTCACATGCTCCTGAATGCGCGCGAGTTTCCTCCAACGGTTTTCAGTTCAGGGGAGAGCGCTCTAGTCCAGAGCGCAGTTTCAGGAGCCTTGGGGAAGGCTCTCAGTAGTGCAATAGGTTTCGCGAGAGGAGGTCCTGTGTTTCCGTCCCTTTGGCTTTCTGCCGACAGGTACCTTTCGCCGAGGATCCACCGTCGTGAAATGCATTTCGTGGCCCCATAAAAGGGGGCTCCACCGAAGGTCCCAGTGGCGCCGCCCGCATGCAGGGAGCTCCACCGAAGGTCCCACTGGCACCGCCCGCATGCGTCCGCCACCACGCAATACAGCCATTGCTCCCTTCGTTTCACCCACCCAGTACAGCGTTTCGTGGCCCCAAAACGGAGTTCCACCGAAGGTCCCACTGGCACCGACCATGCGTCCGCCACCACCCAGCACAACCCTGGCTCCCTGCGTTTCACCCACCCAGCACAGCGCTTCGTGGCCCCAAGCGGGGCTCCACCGAAGGTCCCAGTGGCACTGCCCGCATGCGTCCGCCACCACCCAATACAGCCATTGCTCCCTGCGATTCACCCACCCAGTACAGCGTTTCGTGGCCCCATAAGGGGGCTCCACCGAAGGTCCCAGTGGCGCCGCCCGCATGCGTCCGCCACCACCCAATACAGCCATTGCTCCCTTCGTTTCACCCACCCAGTACAGCATTTCGTGGCCCCACAGGGAGCGCCACCGAAGAAGATATTCACAATCGAGGTACTCACAGCTGCATATGGTTGGGTATTTCGCCAGGCTGTTTTTGATGTTTCTCCCTCTCTCTCTCTCTGTCTCTTTCAATCCCTGTGTCTCCTGCTGACCCCGCACAATGTTCACATGGGAGTCAAACGTGGATATCACATACGCTCTCCGCTGTTTTACGTTTTGAGCGTTTTTGGTCATTTGACATGGAGCTCCCGCCGCAGCGGTGGCCACATTGCAGGACGAGCGCTGTGCCCCCATCGTTCGGACCGGCGCTCTCGCATCAGTGCGGGCCGCATTCCTGGATCCGGTTGTTTTCTCGTGTTTGCCGTCCCCCATCCGTTCCCTTTTTTGCGCCTTCCCCTGGCTCTCCTGCTCTAGTTGTTCCTCCTGCTCCTCCTCCTGGGCGTCCTTCACATCCACCCGCCTTTTCCTCGTCCTCCACAAATATACAAGTACTGCCTTCCTCGATTGCACACCGAATTGAGGATCAAACCTGCAACTGCCTAATCCGGGATGGAGGTCTTCCAGGACAATATGGGAGAGGAGGAGGAGGAGAAGGAAAAGGAGGAGGACGGAGGAAGAGGAGGAGGAGGAGGAGGAGGAGGAGGATGACGACGAGGGGGGGGGAGGACGAGGACGGAGGAGGACAATAAGGGGGAGGAGGAGAAGGAGGAGGAGGAGAAAGAAGAGGAGGACGGAAGAGGAGGAGTAGGAAGAGGAGGAGGAGGAGGAGGAGGAGGAGGAGGAGGAGGAGGAGGAGGAGAGAGGAGGAGGAGAGAGTCCTTCGGCCCATCCCCCGCGCACCCGCAGGCCGCAGGACGCCGCCGCAGGCGGCACCGGGCTGGGCCCCAGCGCCGGCTGGGGCGCGGCCAACGCGCAGCTGGGGCCCGCTCCCGCCAGGAGCAGTAGGAGGAGGAGGAGGAGGAGGAGGAGGAGGAGGAGGAGGAGGAGGAGGAGGAGGAGAGGAGGAGGAGGAGGAGTCATGTCTCGCCCCCCGCTGGCCCCGTGTCTCGCGCCCATCTTGCTTCCGCTCCTGCAGGGCTGGGCGCCCAAGCAGGGGAAAAGGAGGAGGACGAGGGGAGGAGGAGGGAAGGAGGAGGGGATCAGGAGAACGGGTGATGGGAGCAGGAGGAGGAGGGAGAGGAGGGGGAGGAGGAGGAGGAGGAGGAGGAGGAGGAGGAGGAGGAGGAGGAGGAGGAGGAGGAGGATGGGGGAGGAGGAGGAGTCATGTCTCGCCCCCCGCTGGCCCCGTGTCTCGCGCCCATCTTGCTTCCGCTCCTGCAGGGCTGCGCGCCAAGCGGGGGAAAAGGAGGAGGACGAGGGGAGGAGGAGGGAAGGAGGAGGGGATCAGGAGAACGGGCGATGGGAGCAGGAGGAGGAGGAGGAGGAGGAGGAGGAGGAGGAGGAGGAGGAGGAGGAGGAGGAGGAGGGTAGGAGGAGGAGGAGGAGGAGGAGGAGGAGGAGGACGAGGAGGAGGAGAAGGCGGAGGAGATAGGGGGGGCCCAATGGGAGAAACGGACGGATGGCGCACAATGGACGCGACGGCGCGGCGTACGGTCGCTCGGTTCGACACCGTCGCGGCGCGTGATCGGGCCGCGGGGCAGCGGCAGCGGCGGCTCTCGGGTCGCGCCCCATGGCGTTTCGAGGTCTGCCCCCGTTTTGCCGCCCACCCTCCTTGAGGCTTTGGTGTTTGAGTCCACACTTCTCGACCCTCGAGTTCTCGAGCCTCCACTCGAATCCTCGACCATCGGACCCTCGAGTCCTCGAGTCCCCGAATCCTCGCTACCGTGGTCCGCGTCGTGCGTCGTCGCCGCCGTCGCTGTCACGGCCTGCCCTTGAATCCTCGCTCCTCGATCGTGTGGGTCTCCCGCGGGAGCGCGAAGACGATCGCGCTTCGCGCGTCGGGCTCCAGGCAGGAGAGCTGCCTTCTCCGGGGCCTCGCGGGGTCATGCGCGGCGCGCGAGGTGGGGCGACCTACCTGGCAACTGCATTCGTACGACGTGGCTGACCCGGGCGAAAATTGGACCCGCGTGGCTGCACATACTTCCAGCGCTTGCCCCTCGCATTTGAGATTGATCTACAAGCCACCACATGTGTAATATCCAGCGCCTGCCCTCCGCATGCCTCACCTGCGAATCCAGCCATGTGTCTTTCCCGCCGTGGTATCCTCGATCCTGGATCCTCGAATCCTCGACCCTTGAATCCTCGATCCTCGGTCTCTGTCGACGACGTCGCCTTTGCTTTTGTCCGTCGCAGTCGCCGTCGTCGCCCCTCGTCGCCACCGTCGCCGTCGCCGTCGGCGCCTGCTGCCGTTCCTCCATCCACGAGTCCTCGACCTGCGCGGTCTTCTCGGATCGACGCTGGACCTTTCTGGTGGCACTTCCAGCGCCGCGCCTTCCACCTCCCCCTCCCCCATCCTCCTCCTCCTCCTCCTCCTCCTCCTCCTCCTCATCTTCCTCCTCCTCCTTATCCTCCTCCTCTCCCGCCTCCTCCTCCTCCTCCTTCTCCTCCTCCTCCTCTTCCTCCTCCCTCCCTCGTCCTCCTCCTCCTCCTCCTCCTCCTCCTCCTCCTTCTCCTCCTCCTCCTCCTCCTCCTCCCCCTCCTCTTCATCCTGCCTGGCGCGTTCCGCGCGCCAGGGAGGGGGTCCAGCGCCGATCCAAGAACTCCGCGCGGACATCCGATTCCTTTGCGTGGAGGGAGGGCGAGGATCGAGCAGGAGAGTTGCGGCGAAACCGGCGAAGAATTTCAGGACCCGCTTCCCTTGGAACCCAAACCATGGATACACACGTGTATATTAGCGACGGGTCGCCCTGCGGCGCCGGTTTCTTTGTTTTCGGCTGTTTTTTCTCTTGTCCGTGGATTTGGCGCCCACTCGCCAGAGCCACGTCCAGAGGTGACGTGCTGAGCGGCAGCGCTTGCCGCGAAGGCCCTCAATTACATTCCACATCATGTTGCACTGGTGCAAATTATTAAGTATCCTCCTAACCTACTCACGCCAGCCAGCTGGAGCCACGCCCCATCCACGGACCAAAGATGGTGGACCCCTTCTTGGGCTCAAACATGTACAACAGCCTATGAAACGTCGTCTTCACATTCTAGACGTGCACCCCGCGAGGCGAGAGGAATTCACGGATCCTTGATCCATGTGAGCGAGTGTTTGGTAGAACGCTTTTTGTATACCAACCCAGACTTCGGATGTCGTGTGTGTGTGTGTCTCCCTCGACGTGGACCCCCAGAGGTCCAGACAACTTTCTGCGGTTCATTTTTTGGCATCCAGCAGATATAGTTTGACGGCCCTGGTGCCGGCGGATGGCAGGTCTCATGGCGCCAACATCGTAGAGCGGAATTTGTTCGGAAAACAATGGGGTGGGCCCAGATTGTCCTGGAGAATTTCGTTCCAGATTTCGAGGTGAGTTTCGTGCGGATTCTTCCGGCCAGAAATGAAGACTATTAAACACATCCACGTGAAATTCACCTGGTTTTTCGTTCGCCGCTTCGGGGTTTAATCAGCTGCAGCACGTTTGCAAGGTCGGTGCAGTGACAGGTCGCAAGGGGGCAACGACTTCCTGCCGACGTCTGCTTTTCGACCCGCGGCCCCAGAGCTCCGTGGGCCTCGGAAATGCGCCGGGGCCGTTTCTTCGCCGGCTCCGCCCTGCCGTTCTTGTTGCCCGTTGTCGGGGCCGGCCAGAGGGCCTGGATGATCGCGGTGGGTGCCATGATATCTCCGCAGATTTCATGGCGCCTCTTCTTATATTTCATTACGTCCCCAGCTCCCCCCTGGGCCGCGCACATGCCGCCGGCCATGAGTTGCGCCCCCCCCCCTCTTGGACGCCCCCCTCTCGGCCGACCCCGACGTTCCTGCGTCGGTTTTGATGGTCCGGTCGCCGCTTTGTTGCTGGTTCTGGTTCCGACTCTAATTCCAGAGCCGTTTTTTTTTGCCGTTCCCAGCTGCCGTTTCTTTTTCTTACCGTTTCCATGTTCACGAGACGCTTTTTGCGGAAACGGTGAAAAAACAGCCCTGCCTTTTTCCAGGGGCCGCTGAGTCCCAGAGGCCCCGACCGCTTCTCTGCAGGAGGAATTCTTCAATGCGGATCCGTTCTTGATGGTCCGGCCACGCGCAGAGGGGGGTGGGGGGAGAGTGGAGGGCTTCTTAGAAGCGTCCCTGCTTCTGAGAAGGCGCTGGCCTTGTCTGCAGGTGCAAGGACGGCGCCTTCCAAGAAGCAGCCTCCTTCTAAGGAGCCCTCCCCCCTCTCTCCACCCCCTTGTGCGCACCGCCGACGGGGACTGGCCCCCGAGGGCCGAAGTCCAAGACACGCGCTTGGACACTTTTTCGGAGGTCCGGGCGTGCCCGAGTTCATCGAGCATGAGGGAACTCCGAACCCTAACAACGCGATGAAGACGTGGCCTCACTTAGGTCCCCGTCTTCGCACTGGGAATAAGAAGTCTGGGCGGCTTGGTCTGATGCATCTTCAGCACCGGCCCCCTATCCCTGATGTCTCTGGCCGTCCCAGCGCAGGTCCCCTCCCAAAGGGATAGGCACTCAGTGGGCCGTGCTGAAAGCAGATTCTGTTGAAGACGGAAGTGGCAAAACAGCAAACGGCGACCGGAAACGGCATCTAAAACAGCGCCGGGATGGGAAGTGGAACCGGAACAGGAGAAACAGCGGCGGCGGGACCGGCAACAAAAACGGCGACGGGACCGGCAACAGAACGGCAAAATGGAACCAGTAAGAAGACGGCCTTGTCGTTTCCAGGGCCCGCTAAGGTTAGGGATACTTTCATTGCTTCTCACGGCGACTCGCCGCCGCCGCCCGGCGCCTCGCCTCGCCTCGCCTCCTCCATGGCGATCTTGCCAGTGTGGGGGACAGGGCAGGAAGGAGGAGCAAGGAGGGGGAGGAAGGGGGAGGAGGGGGAGGAGGAGGGAGGAGGAGGAGGAGGAGGAGGAAGAAGAAGAAGAAGAAGACGAAGAAGAAGAAATAAAAGAAATGAAGAAAGAAGAAGGAGAAGAAGAAGAGAAGAAGAAGAAGAGGAGGAGGAGGAGGAGGAGGAGGAGGAGGAGGGGGGAGAAGGGGGGAGGAGGGGGGAGGAGGGGGGAGGAGGGGGGAGGAGGAGGAGGGAGGGGGAGGAGCGGGAAGGAGGAGGCGAGGCGAGGCGAGACGAGTTTCCTTCCTGGCGCCCGGCGGCCCCGCGGCGACGGCGCGCGCGCGCGGGCCGTTGGCCAGGGCCGCCGGCGCGGAGCAGGCGCCGCAGCCCGCCGCCGCGCCGGCGGCGAGGCCGAACGCGGCGGACGCCAGGGGGCGGGCCGGGCACACGCAACGCGGGAGGAGGAGGAAGGGGGAGGAGGGGGAGAGGAGGAGGAGGAGGAGGAGGAGGAGAGAGGGGAGGGGGAGGGGGAGGAGGAGGAAGGGGGAGGAGGAGGAGGAGGAGGAGGAGGAGGGAGGAGGAGGAGGAGGAGGAGCCCGTCCCAGGGAAGGGGTCAAGGCACAGGGCGGTCCACACCGTCGAAAGTCGGGCGAGTGGCAATGGGGAGGACCCTGACCCAGGCAGGATCGCATCGCAAACAAACATCATCTGGACGCCCGAAAGGGGTACGGAAAGAATGGGCACAATGCCCAACATCAGTTCCTGTTCCTTTGAACAGGACTCGCTGTCCGCGCCGCCGCGGGCTGTGTCCACTTGAGACGGAAGGCCGCCTGCCCAACAGCGGCCGCTGTTGGTTGGGGACAACATTTGTTGTTGGGCATTGTACCCATTCTTTCCGTACCCATTTCGGGCGTCCAAATACATGATCGCGTCGCAAAAGAAAATCATGCCGGGAGGTTTTGGGCAAGTTTCGGCCCCGGGGGGGCCCTCGCCGGGCCTCGGGGCCGTCAACAGACGACTCGGGACCAAACCACCCACGCCCCAGAAGGGCTGGTGGGATTTCAAGCGATCTCGAAATGCGAAAATGCGCTGCAGCTGTAGTCTTTTGTAAAGTCCAATTCGTCGGGACGAAGAACTGGTCCCGGGGAAAGGGTCGGGGTGTCCTGGGAGGGCCGTCCTGCAAAAATCAGGACGTCGCTTGTCTGGGACTGTTTCGAGCCGGGCGTTTTTGCCTTTGTTTCGGGCCCCCGGTCCCTCAAAGATCGATCCGGCTCGAAGCATGATGCAGAAAGGTAAGGTCCCGGGGGTCTGGTCATGATCTCTTACGATGTCGTGTTTGTTTGACAACGTCGGATCTCAGAGGATGAGGGTGCGAAGGACGGCAATCTAGGCCTCCCAGATGGGGTCCGAGTGGATGGGGCCGGAGGATCGCGCCGCATCGCCGATGCATCGGCGATGCGGCTCGATGTGGAGCCCCATGTTCCCCACGCTGACGTCGCCGGTGCATCGCCGCCGTCGCTGATGCGTCACCGATGCATCATCGATGCATCGCCGATGCATCTGCGATGCGGCGCGATCCTCCGACCCCATCTACTCAGGCCCCATCTTGGAGGCTTCTAGGTATTAGGTAGACTTTTCCACCGTCGGGGACTCCTGCTTTCCGCGAGGAGCAGGAGGAAGAACAGGAAGAGGAGAGGGAGGCAACGGAAGTATGAGTGCATTTACGTTTGCCGCAGCTTCATGCTTAAGTTTGGGGGTACGTTTGCTGCCGAGTGCGTTTGCTACCATGGTTTAGTATAGCTGCTGGTAGTTGTTGACATGTGGCCACGTTTGTTGTGGCGTTGAAATATGAGTCGTTCGCTGCCCGTGGCAATTGAACTGTGGGTACGTTTGCTGCTGAGTGCGCTTGTTAACCATGATGTGGTGTAGCTGCATGTAGCTGTTGAAATGTGGGTACCCCCTGTGTGCGCATGTCGTGGTTCCCGTTCTTGTCCACATAGCTTCCCTCCCAGCATATGCGTTTCGCCGGAGACACCTTCGAACAGTCCAGATGCTGAAGGCGTTTTGATCGAGATGTGGTATGTCGAAAACGAGGCTCTCGCGCGAGACATCCTCGGACAATTGAGATGTTGAGATCGCTCTCGAAGTTGCTCGAGTATTAAGACATGGCCGTTTAGACAGCTTCGAGCAAATGAGATGTCGATAGAGCTGCTCTAAACAAGTTGACGACGTTGATTGTTGAATTTCAGGCTCTCGCTCGAGACATCTTCGACAATGCGATGAGGAGGAGGAGGAGGAGGAGGAGGAGGAGGAGGAGCAGGAGGGGGAGGGGTAAGGGGATGATGATGATGATGATGATGATGATGATGATGATGATGATGAGGAGGAGGAGGAGGAGGAGGAGGAGGAGGAGGAGGACCAGTGTAAATCCAAGACACATCAACGATGTTGGAATGAACCCTCCCCCCAGGCTTCCTCTTCATAGGCCCCGACAAGGATCCATGTCCACTGAAGGAAGTGCCCAGATTGGAGACAACCGTTTGAAGATCCTGAGGCGTGCCAATACAGCAGTTTCGGGACTACAACGCTACGAATGGACCTGACTGCTGCGCGCTGAGGATCTGAATCGTGCCAGAACACCATTCCTGGGACTTCAGCACCGCGAGTCAGCAAACTGTTGCGCCCTGGCAATCCCGAGTCGTTCCCAAGCACCTTTTCTGATACGTTAACCATGGGAATCATCGAAGCCCTCGCGACGTTTTAAGACGAAGGTGCGCGGCGCTGAGGCGAGAGCCACATTTCCAAAACGAGCCGCCATCCATCCGCACAATGTTTGCAATGATTGTAAACGAATGCGCGCGGCGCTAAGGCGAGAGGCACATGTTGAAAGCGGCCCGCCCTGAATCCGCTAATCTCCTGCGCAATTGTACGACGAATGCGTGCGGCGTCAAGGCGAGAGCCACATGATGAAACCCACTAGCCCTAAATCGGCGAAGCTGTTTTCAACGTTTGAAACGTATGTGCGGGAGCTAAGGCGAGAGCCACATTTCGAAAACGACCCGCCCTCAATATGTGAAGCCCTTGCAACGGTTGAGAACGAATGTGCGCGGCGCTATTGCGAGAGCAACATTTTGAAAACCACCCGCTCTCAATATGTGAAGCTGTTGTCAATGCTTAAGCTTCAGTGTCCTACATGGTAAGAAAGTCTCAGGCGAAACGCCCGACCCGCCCTTTCGACCGAGCTCGGGGCACGACAGGGAGAAGTTATGTGCAAACAAAAGGAATGTAGCAGGAGGATGGGGATGGGCAGGGGAGGGAGGGGGATGGGGAAGAGGGAGGCGGGGGGGAGGAGGGGAACGAGGAGGAGGAGGAGGCGGAGGAGGAGGATGATGATGAGGAGGAGGAGCAAGAGGAGGAGATGGAGGAGGAGGAGGAAGAGGAAGAGGAAAAGGAGGATGAGGATGAGGATGAGGATGAGGATGAGGATGAGGATGAGGATGAGGATGAGGATGAGGATGAGGATGATGATGATGATGATGATGATGATGATGATGATGATGATGATGATGGTGGTGATGGTGATGATGATGATGATGATGATGATGATTATTATTATGCTGACGATGGTGATGCTGACGCTGATGCTGATGCTGCTGATGATGATGATGATGATGATGATGATGATTATGATGATGATGATGATGATGATGATGATGATGATGATGATGATGATGATGATGATGATGATGATGATGATGATCGTGATGATGATACTGATGATGAGGATGTGGATGAGGATGAGGATGAGGAGGAGAAGAAGGAGGAGGAGGAGGAGGAACGTGGGGGGGGGAGAAGGAGGAGGAGGAGGTGGAGGAGGACAGGGCTGAGGAGGAGGATATCCATATCTGAGCAACGTGACAAGGATGAGGAGGAGGAGGAGGAGGAGGACGGGGAGGAGGAAAAAGAGGAGGACAACGAGGAAGAGGAAGAGGAGGAGGAGGAGGAGGAGGAGGAGGAGGAGGACGAGGAGGAGGAGGAGGAGGAGGAGGAGGAGGAGGAGGAGGAGTAGGAGAGGTATGTGGAGAAGGTTATCCATGTCTGAGCAACGTCAACAAGATGAGGAGGAGGATATGGTTGCGATGTTCCAACCTACTTCAGCCTTGATCATCAGAAAGAATTCCGAGCGCCAGAAACAGCACCGAAACTCGAGGGTTTTCACGTGTCGGGCCCTGGGAGACACTCGCCCGACACTGTTTCGACATTGTTTCGACACTGTTTCGACATTTTTCAAGGTGCTCTAAATGCCCCAATCAGAGCTTGCCTATGTAGGGGTCCTAGCGGATCCATATAATTAGGTTAGGTTTGTCGCCGATTTTCGCTGCACGCCCGGGTGCCCGGGTGCCCGAGGGTGCCCGGGGTGCCCGGGGGGGGGCCCGGGGGGGCCTGGGTGCCTGGGTGCCCTGGTGCCCGGGCGTGCCTGGGCGTGCCCAGGGGTGCCCGGGGGTGCCCGAGTGTGCCCAGGGGTGCCCTATAGCCCTATAGCCCTAGGCCCTATAGCCCTATAGCCTAATAGCCCTACAACTCTATAGACCTATGGCTCTATAGCCCTATAGCTCAATAGCCCTATAGCCCTATAGCCCCCTAGCCCTATAGCCCTAATTGGGTGTTTCTCCGGTATCATTATGTCTGGGATGTGGTCCTTAAGTACGACTGGGGCAACATAAGGATAGGGAGGAGGAGAAGGAGGAGGATGAGGATGACGACAAGGAGGGAGGAGGAGGAGGAGGAGAAGGAGGAGGGTGAGGAGCAGGAGGAGGAGGAGGTAGAGAAGGAGGAGGAGGAGCAGGAGGAGGCGGAGCAGGTGGAGGACGCGGAGCGTTGTCAAAAGAGAAGTTGTTGTGACAGGATGTGTTCTCCCGATTTGCTGTTTAAAGTATGTTGTCTACGCTATACTACGTTCATGATGTTATGCGGTGACCGGTTCAGTGTAGGACATACGTGCCCAACAATGTTGTACTATATGGTAGTATGGCACCGTCGCCGCCATAGTGGAAACATCGTGATACAACAATTGTGGTATGGCAATTTGGTTACACTGTGCCCTGTTCGCTTTGGCATGTTATGATATGTTATGCCACGACACCCATATCCGGTGTGTACCCGTCTGTGGTGCTACATTGCAATCGTCGCCATCGTGGTCGCAATGAAACAACGTTTCTGGTAGGTTATGTTACGGCGTGTTATGCTATACTCTAGGCTGCCCCGCCCTGGCATGTAATGGTTTGCTATGTCAGGGTGTGGTTGATGTGGAGTCGTGTTATGCCCTGCTGTCCTGTGATGTTTTGTGTTATGAGGCGCGATGTTATGAGATGAAGTGCGTTGTTATGTTATGTTATGGTGTGACTGGTGTCGTTTTACATTCCCAACCATTATGTGGTGTTGGGTCCTCGTTTTGAACAGACAGCGCCCCGCGTCACCTCCTCACTCCTCCCCTTCCTCCTCCTCCTCCTCCTCCTCCTCCTCCTCCTCCTCCTCCGCGAGGTACTGGTGATGTGCCAGGAATGGTGTCGGGGGGAACCTGAGCTGTTCCCAACCATCTTGTGGTGTTGGGTCCTCGTTTTGAAGAGACAGCGCCCCGTGTCACCTCACTACTCCTCCCTGTCCTCCTCCTCCTCACCGTCACCATCAGCACCATCCCACCCATTCTGGCACACCCCTCACACGGCTCGTGGCCCCACAGGGAGCTCCACCGAAGGCCCCAGTGGCACAGGCCGCATGCGGGGACCGCACCCATTTTGGCACACCTTTCACTCGGTTCGTGGCCCCACAGGGAGCTCCACCAAAGGCCTCAGTGGCACAGGCCGCATGCAAGACAGCGACCATTTTGACACCATTCACGCGGTCCGTGGCCCCGCAGGGAGCTCCACCCGAGGCCCCAGTGGCACAGGCCGCACGCGGGGACCGCCACCCATTTTGGCGCACCCTCACACGGTTCGTGGCCCCACAGGGAGCTCCACCGAAGGCCCCAGGGGCACAGGCCGCATGGGGGGGGGGCCGCACACATTTTGTCACACCCCTCACACGGTTCGTGGCCCCACAGGGAGCTCCACCAAAGGGCCCAGTGGCACAGGCCGCATGCGGGGACCGCGCCCATTTTGGCACACCCCTCAAACGGTTCGTGGCCCCACAGGGAGCTCCACCGAAGGCCCCAGAAGCACAGGCCGCACGCGGGGAGCGCCGCCCATTTTGGCACACCCATCACACGGGTCGTGGCCCCACAGGGAGTTCCACCGAAGGCCCCAGGGGCACAGGCCGCATGCGGAGGCCGCGCCCATTATGCCACACCCATCACACGGCTCGTGGTCCCACTGGGAGCTCCACCGAAGGCCCCAGTGGCACAGGCCGCACGCGGGGACCGCACCAATTTTGGCACACCCTTCACACGGTTCGTGGCCCCACAGGGAGTTCCACCAAAGGCCTCAGTGGCACAGGCCGCACGCGGGGACCGCCACCCATTTTTGGCACACCCCTCACACGGTCCGTGGCCCCACAGGGAGCTCCACCGAAGGCCCCAGTGGCACAGGCCGCACGCGGGGACCGCCACCCATTTTCGTATATGTTTCACACGGTTCGTGGCCCCACAGGGAGCTCCACCGAAGGCCCCAGCGGCAGAGGCCGCATGCGGGGACCGCCCCTCATTTTGGCACACCCTTCACACGGCTCGTGGTCCCACTGGGAGCTCCACCGAAGGCCCCAGTGGCACAGGTCGCATGCGTGGACCGCGCCCATTTTGGCACACCTTTCACACGGGTCGTGGCCCCACAGGGAGCTCCACCGAAGGCCCCAGAAGCACAGGCCGCACGCGGGGACCGCCACCCATTTGGGCACACCCCTCACACGGTTCGGGGCCCCAAAGGGAGTTCCACCGAAGGCCTCAGTGGCTTTGGTTGCACGCGGGGAGCGCCGCCCATTTTGGCACACCCATCACACGGTTCGTGGCCCCAGCGGCACAGGCCGCATGCGGGGACCGCTACCCATTTTGGCACACCTTTCACGCGGTTCGTGGCCCCACGGGGAGCTCCACCGAAAGCGGTACCCACAATGCGGTACTCGCAGTTGCAAATGGTTGTGTCGTTCGTCAGGCTAATGTGCTGGTGCGCTTTTGCATGGTATCGTATGTCATAGTATAGTACATGGTGTGATGTTATGTTATGTTATGGTGTGGTGTGTCTTGGTATGGTGTGTTGTATTCCGTTACGATGCTTTGTGGACCGGTTATGCTATGTTACGGCGTGTAAGAGTTGGTTACGTTTGATATGTTCCGATTTTTCATATAATGTTTCGATGTACTATGGTATGCCCTGTTCTGTGATGCTGTGTTCGGTGTCGCTCTGCTCTGTCACGTTATGTTCAGATATTGAGTTTTGTTCTGTCATGCTCTGTTATGTTCTGTCAAGCTGCCGCGGAGTTCAGATCGGGCGGGTCGGGTCGGGATGGGCGCGAGTCTCGGGGGTTCTAAGAGGACATGGGGATCTGGCGGCCGCGGTATGTATGGTTGGCGGGTCGGGAGGTCTATTCTTAAACTCTAACGACCCCTTCGTGTCCAGTGGGGAAAGCCAGCCCCGGGGAATGGGTTTGGACTTCCAGGGGAACAAGCTCTCAGCCACACCGTCGGAATTTTGGGAAGAGGTGACCTTTCGCCGGCGTGACCTGTTCGCGGCTGGGCTTTCCAGGGCCTCTTTCGTTTGCTCTTGGGGGTGGTCGGCTACCCGTAAGCCCAACAGCACTGTGTATTCGGTGTTTGGGCCGAAATCGATGTTCAACAGAACAACTGTCTCACTATATACTTTATCGTATGCCGATTTCGGTTCCCAAGAACAAGATGCAGTCGAGGTTGATTGGTAGGTCGACCCTGCCAAGTCGAGGGTGCCCTTGTGCCCAGTGTTTCGCGACCCATGTCTTATACATTCCTGTGGCAACGTGGCCCTCGGAAGGGTATTGTGTCCTCGCGTGCCCTCTCCAACCAACCCCGACGTTAGCTGAGCGTTTTGATCTGATGCGGCCTTCGGCTTCCGGGTCACGCAGCTCTCTCAGACCCTCTGCTGGCTGGCGTGGCCCGCCTGCGGCTCGTTCTCGGGCGTCTTCGTGGGCTCAAGGGGGTTCCCCTGCCTCGGCATGCGTTCCGGCAGCTGCGCCTCGCCGACAGCACTCTGGGTGTGCCCGAGTGGTCCCGGACGGCCGCCAGAGGCCCAAGTTGCATGCAGTGACTCGCGCAGGGATCGCCGGCGAGCCAGGTTGGGGAAGTGATAGGGGCTGCCTTCTGAGGAGGCTCGGAAGTCCTCCGGCCTTTGCGGGCAATACTTCTGTCCATATCCACTGCAGTATGGAGTTTCGGGCTCCCTTCCCCATAAACCCGAGGCACACTGTATATGGACAAATTTGCCCACCGTAGAGGCTAGGTTTTTATCCATATCCAGTGCACCTCGGCCTTGAGGCGCTTCTTTCAAAAAAGTTCAAGACGCACTGGATATGGATATAAGTCTTGCCCGCAGCCTTTTCAGAAATAGAAGTGTCCTGAGCCTTCCCCGAAGACAGGGGCAATTTTTCAGAAGGCGCGAGGGTTTCTGAGAAGTCCCGCCGCATTCTGAGAAGGCCTTCTCTTCTCACTTGCCCCCCGTCGCTCACCGCCGAATTGAGGGGATGCCCTCCCAGACAAATCGACTGTGGAATTTGGCACCGGTTCACTCGGCATTCGCATGCGCAGCGTGCTGGTGCAGCCCCCCGTCGGGTTTTCGCCAGTCGACGTGTGTTTTGCCAGGTGCGTTTGGTAACTTGTGGACGTCGATGAGTCACTCCACGCTTCAAAAAGGCCTTGCGCTCCGCCAGCGGAAAAGCGGGCGGAAGCTCGGCGGAAGCCGGCGGAAGCAGTTATCGACATCCCAAGAGATGACAAGATTTTTGGGTTCAGGGTGTCCGGAGAGGAACGCGTTACAGCGCACACCCATGCAGTGCCCCTTGCAGCCTTCTTTAGGAGGCGTTTGGCGAGATGGGGCGTGGTAAATCCGAGATGGGGCGTGGTAAATCCCCCAGACCCTTCTCCAGAGTGACCTTTGGTGCGGGGGTGTCGCGGGGTGTGTGTGTGTGTGTGTGTGTATGTGTGTGCGGAGGCAAACCCAAGCGCGCTGGCGACGTGATCTTTCGACGCGATTCTTCCATCTCGCATCTCCAGATCTCCGACGACGTGATCTTCTTTCGCTGCGCGGACCCCCGGAGGACCAGACCCATCCCCCGGGACTTCTTTCAGGAGGGAAAAAAACACACAGACACAATTAATCGTCCACTCCCAGAAAATATGGGAAAATATGGGAAGTGGGGGGGAAGACAGAAACCCAGAAAATATGGGAAAATATGGGGAATCTTTTTATTTGTGTGTATTTATTTGTGTGTTTGTGGGCCCCTTCATTCTTTCGCATCCCCTGGCGCTCCCAGGGGCCCGGCGAGGCGCTCCGGAGGCCGAGCGCTGCCCGCGGACTCCCGCCGCGATGTTTCATTTTTATTTTGGGTCGCAGCGGGGGCGACCCAAATTTCATTCAGTTCCTCCTCCTCCTCCTCCTCCTCCTCCTCCGCCTCCTCCTCCTCCTCCTCCTCATTTCATTATTCATTCATTTTTATTTTTTTATTTTTATTTTTCATTTTTCTTTTATTTTGGGCCTGGGCCGCACACATCACCACCCACCAAACCACCCCAACCCAACCCGAAGGCTCAGATTTACCCTCGATTTCCAGTGGGGGGGGGGATCGGGACACATCGACAAAAACACGTGTGGAACCCTTAATTACCACCCCCAACCCGACAGTCGGGTCTTCGGGCTGGGTTGGGGTGGTCTGGTAGGCAGTCCACACAGCGGCCCGCAGACCGCGCACTCGGGGCCGCTCTTCCCGGGGGCCGCCCGCGCGCGCGTCCTCGCCGAGGTGGACGCGGACGCCGAAGGGGGCGGACGCGGCGGACGCCAGGGGCTGGGCGCAGGCGCCCGGGGCCCTGCCGAGGGAGGCTGCCGCCGCCGCGGCTGGGCTCGCCGCGCCTCCTCCCCCCCCGCCTTGGCCTTCGCGCGCTGTTGCGCGACTCGTGCAGCTCCCGCTCCTTGCTTCCAAGGTCTCCTTCCTCCTCTCTTGCCACATCCTGCGAAGGAAACAAGCGCCTCATCCCCCCCCGACCTTGGCCTTCGTGCGCTTTTGCCCGACTCGTGCAGCTCCCGCTCCTTGCTTCCAAGATCTCCTTCCTCCTCTCTTGCCGCATCCTGCGAAGAGAACAGGCGCCTCATCCCCCCCCCCGCCTTGGCCTTCGTGCGCTTTTGCGCGGCTCGTGCAGCTCCCGCTCCTTGTTTCCAAGGTCTCCTTCCTCCTCTCTTGCTGCATCCTGCGAAGGAAACAAGCGCCAGGGACACAAAAGTTGGGCGCCCTTTGTTTTCAAGATGGGTGCTGCCGCAAGTGGGAGTAGCGGGGGGGGGGGGCCGTCGGAGCTACGAACTGCTCGCTCTGCGGAGCGACCGCCTTGTGACATCAAACCTAATGAACACCAATGTTTTGTTTAAAGGTCTCCTTCCTCCTCTCTTGCCACATCCTTCGAAGAAAGCCAGCGCCAGGAGCATAAAAATTGGGCGCTCCGCGCGGGTTTCTTGGATCCGCGCACGGTCGCCAGGGAGGGGGTCCAGCGCAGATCCACGAAATCTACGCGGAGCGCCAAGAATTTATGTTTATGCCGATGTTCCTTCTTCTAATCCTCTTCCTCCTCCACTCTTCCCCCTCACGCAGCACAGGAGGCGGCATGCGCACAAATTCCCAGAGGCTCGCGCAGATCTCTTCGCCCCGTCCTCTTCCTCCTCCACTCTTCCTCCTCTCGCAGCGCAGGAGGCGGCATGCGAACAAACTCCCAGATGTTCGCACAGATCTCTTCGCTTCATCCTCTTCCTCCTCCACCTCTTCCTCCTCTCGCAGCACTGGAGGCGGCATGCGCACAATTTTCCGGAGGCTCGCACAGGAAAATAGGGGGGGATTGGGAAAGGGGGACTGCGAAGTCTGCTTCGTGCCGTTCGTGTCGGCCCGGCTGGCCAGGCTCTTCTCAAGGGCGCCCTCGAGGGCGCGAAGTTCTTCGCGCTTCGCGGTTCGGCTCCGATGCCTGATCTTCCTCTTCTTTCCTGGGGGGCGGCGCGAGAGCGCGAAGTTATTCGCGCTTCGCGCACGCGAAGTTGGGCGCCCTTACTTCCTCGACAGAGTGGCGCCTCTGTCGCCAGGAGGCGCTGGAGGAACCAGCTAATGACCTGGTTCGCCAGACCCCCGCCTTGCTGTTCCCCCCCTGTCGTCAGCCCAGACCCGTGTGAGCGTGCGTGATCAGTGCAGCTCCCGCCCTTCACATTCGCTGGTGCCGAACCGGGGGGAGGAAGAGGGGGAGGAGGGACCTCCACTCCACCTCCTCGGTTCCGCCCTCCTCCCCCTTTTCTTCTCCCCCTCCCGCTGCCGGTCTCCTCATCTACATCTCACTGCCACCTGCCGGCGGCTCCCGGAGCGGTGCTCCCTTGAGTCGCCCGGCACTCGCCTGATCACCCCCCCCCCAGGGCCGACCGGCCCTGGGGGGGGAGGAGGACTGCGATCGACGACCTCTCCGACCACCAAGAAGCAAGAATCGGGGAGGAGGGCAGGTTGGGGAAGGTGGCGAATGTCGCTGGGGTGCGAACGACCTCTGCTGTCCCTCGACTCGCGCGGGAGTGTCACCGATTCTCTCTCGGTTTCTCTGGGCACACCTCGATCCACTTCGACCTGTCTAGGCTGACATCGGTGCACGTAAGTTTTCCCAGACTTGCCTGGCTTGATTTCCGCAAATCAACTTTGGAAGAGTCGTCGAATCCTCACATGGCGAAGGCCTGTCGCGGGGACGCCAGGCGGCCGCGATGGACACCAGGCGCTGACAGGGCCCATTGCGCTCCGGTCGATCCCACTGGATATCGATTCTGGCAGGCGCCGTCCGGTTCGATTCCGATGTCCCGACGAGCCGATGCGGCCCGACGCCAGCGTGGTGCTATTGTGTATCCTGGCGCGGCCGAGCCGCCGCGCATTTCGATTCCATCCAGCTCCCTGATTCGAGGTTGGCTGATCCTGGGGCGGGACACAGAGAGGGAAGCGGGAGAGGGTTAGAGGGTGGCGGCTGTGGGGACGTTTTGCTAAACCAGAGGGGCCACGGAGACAACCTACGAGGGCACGCCACCCCGAGACGACGGCGATACCCCGCTCCCCCCCTCTGTCTGGGAGGGCCGTCCGTGTCTCGTGTGGAGGTGCGGGGTCAGGACGTGCTCTGCCGTGCTCTCAGCGTGGATGCCGAGCGCGCGAGGCGGGGGGAGGAGGAGGCCCTGGCCTCCTCTCGCAGCGGAGGTGCAACCGACGAGAGGACTCTGCTGCTGCTCTCGGCTGCCTGGGTTCCTCACCAGGCCCAGTGCCGTGACGGACACGACCCGGCACAACAAGCCGGTCCCGCGGCAGGGGTCGGTCGAGATGTGCAGGAGTCGACTGCACGGAAGAGTGACCCTTCGCCACAGTGCCCTGTGGTGCGGGCTCACAGGGGCCCCCCCAGCGTCGGCCAGCGCGCTTTTGGACGTGGCCCCATCGCCGCCCCCGAAAGGCGCGCACCAGAGGTCACTCCTGCCCAGGGGCGCTCTCGCGCGTCGCCGAGGGAGGCCACCTTGTAGAAAGCCACGGCGTCGGAGGTCTGGAGTCGCACGGCCCTCAGGACACCCAGTTGCTCCAGGGGTCCGCGGTGCTCCTTCCGGGCCACGCACTCGTGCGCCGACGGCGCCGCAGGGAGCCGCGAGAGGGGGCGGAGGAGATGGGGCGGTGCAGGGGGGCAGCGGGGGGCGAGGAGGAAGCATAATTACGCACCTGGAGGAGGAGGACGAGGCACATGGAAGAGTAGCTGTGCAGAGGGAGGGGGAGGAGAAGAAGGAGTAGGAGGAGGAGGAGGAGGAGGAGCAGGAGGAGGAGGGGGAGGAGGAGGAGGAGGAGAGGAGGAGGAGAGGAGGAGGAGGAGGAGGAGGAGGAGGAGAAGAAGGGGAGGAGGAGGAGGAGGAGGAGGAGGAGGAGGAAGAGGAGGGTGAAGAGGAGAGGAGGAGGAGGAGGAGGAGGAGGAGGAGGAGGAGGAAGGAGGAGGGGGGAGGAGAAGGAGGAGGTGGAAGAGGAGGAGGAGGAGGAGGAGGAGGAGGGAGGAGGAGGAGAGGAGGAGGAGGAGGGGGGAGGGGAAGAGGAGGAGGAGGAGGAGGAGGAGAGGAGGAGGAGGAGGAGGAGGGGAAGGAGGAGGAGGAGGAGGAGGGAGGAGGAGGAGGAGGAGGAGGGAGGAGGAGCAGGAGGAGAAGCGTGAGGAGGAGAGGGAGTGGAGCCAGTGACTGGTCACGCTCCAGCCATCCAGCCAGGGGGCCTGCCCGTCTCAGTGCCGACCCATCTTCGGGCCTCGCGGGCGGCGATCGCGCTGGCCACGGCGGATCGCAGCGCCGGTACAGGGAACGGCGACGGTTGGGGGGGGGGCCAGAGGACGACGCTCACATCGCGGAAGCGCGCGAGGAGATGGCCGGAGTCTGTCTGGCCACAGCGCGCGCCGATGGAGGGATTGGCGTGGAGACGCCACGGGAATAGCTCGTCGCGTCCGTCCCCGCGAGGGCGATCGCTCTGGAGCAGCGTGTGCGTCCTGGTACGCCCGACGGCCGCCGGAGCTTGATTCGCGCACCAGGCGCGAGAGGCGGCAGCGCGCACGTCCTGGCACAGTCCGTAGGCATGCTGACCGCGATGCAGGTCACGGCGATGTGCGACGTAGGTTTCGGTACTGTACTCTGGAGGCCCATGCCAAGAAGCACCCTGCTCGCCAGGAGCATCGTCAGAAGTTGCGCAGTCGGTTGCGCCGCAGGAGCCAGTCTGTGTTGTCGTCTCAGCGTAACGGGCCCACTGACGCATCGTTGTGCTCCCGCGGGGTCTGGTCATACTGCTGTCCACAGGTAGTCATTCCAAGATCCCGTCGGCGCCGAACGCTACGTCACCAGGGGGTGGAATGGTGGGGAGCGGTCACGGCCGTTACGCCGAATGCAAAATTATTCAAAAGTGCAAATGCATGAGAACAGAGTCACCATCCAAGGGGGCATGCGTGGTGTGGGCAGTGAGTGCCAGTAGAAGACGGACTTGGCACGTCACGGCGCATGTGGTGCATTCTAAACTCAGGCACGGCACGGCACGACACGCGGGTACAGCACGGATCATTGTCCGCAGTCTAGTACTTACAGACGACACAGCACCCGACGTCGGTACGGCAAGGCACGGCACAATCTTCTGCAGTCTAGTTTTTTTTTGTCACGGCGCGGCATCAGCATGTGTGTGGCCAGTGACGCCAGAAAAACGAGCCTTGCACGGCACATCCAATCTGCGGCATACCAGAATTCGAATGGCACGGCACACGGCCACGGCACGCATCACTTGCTGCATCCTCGCGTGCACGGGGCGGCACGGCAAGCGGCCACGCCACGGCACGGCCCTCGCGCTCCAGAGCCCAGGGCGCCGCGCGGCACGGCACGCGGCCCTGCCGCAGCACGGCACGGCGACGCCGCTGCAGCCCGGCGCCGAGGCACCGCGCGGCACGGCACGCCCTTCGCACCCGAGCACGCGGGGACGGCACGGCACGGCACGGCGGGGAGTGCGGGCACGGCTCCGCACGGCACCCGTGTCGTGTTCCAGAGCTTCCGGCGCGGCGCGGCACGCGCTTCGCATTCTCTGCAGGCACGCCGCGCGAGCACGCGAGCAGGGCACGCGTTTTTCCGAGCGCTTGGCGCCGCGGGACGGCGCAGCACAGTCTGTTCGCAGCTTGGACCCCGGAAGAGGAGGAGGAGGAGGAGGAGGAGGAGGAGGAGGAGGAGGAGGAGGAGGAGGAGGGGGGAGGGGGAGGAGGTAGAGGAGGAGGAGGAGGAGGAGGAGGAGGAGGAGGAGGAGGAGGAGGAGGACCAGCAGCAGGAGGAGGAGAATTTTTGAAGAAGAGAAAAAGAATGAGGAGGAAAAGGAGGAGGAGGAGGAGGAGGAGGGAGGGAGGGAGGAAGGGAGGGAGGGAGGAACAGGAGGAGGACACGGCCGTTTTTCTTTCCGCACTCCAGAACCGAGTCATGGCACGGCTCGCCACGTTCCTCGCATTCTGTGCACGGCACGGCTCGCGGGTGTGGTGCGGCACGGCACGGTACGCATTTTGTTGCAGTCCAGAGCGTCGGCGCAGCAGGGCACGCGGGCACGGCACGGCACGGCACATGTTTAGCACTCTGGGCTTCGGCATTGGGCCCCATGTACCAGTCGGCATCATTCACACCATTCCAGGGCTGGACCTGAACGCCGTTTTGCTGGACTTCGGCTGTGGTTTGTGTTGTGCCCGTCGGTTTCGCTGATGCGCCTATGTGCGTTTGCGAATTGAGTTAATTTTGTTATGTGCATTGCAACTGCGAGCATGTCTTGCAGGTGCGAGCGGCTGCCGACAGTGGCGGCTGTGTTCGCAAATTCGCTCCGTGCCGCATCCTGGACGCTGCGTCCGCTCCCTGACATTTGCCTTGGAGCCGCGAACCAAAAAAGGCTATGGTTTGTGTTTCGTCGTGGCCGGGAGGCACAGGAAAACAATTAGAGCAAAACGAGCAGCAACACGGACACGAAACGAACAACCACGTTTAGGTCCAGCCTTGCACCCTCCTTTGTTCAGGAATTCAGGTGTAACGCACGGCACGCGCTGTGTAAGGTGGCACCAAAGGGCTGCACCGGCAGGCCGCGCATGCCACGCCCTCGGAGACGTGGGTTTGCTGCGCTCTGCTTCGGTGGCGCGCCGTCGGCTGCGCGCGCGCGTGGCACGCCTCCCGAGCCTGGGCTGCAGCGCAGGTTCCGTTTTTTAGGCTCGGCACGTCACGCCGTCCCCGCCTCTACCTATAGTTTGCGTTTTTTTGCAGCGCAGCATGGCGCCATGCGTTGCGCACGGCACGCCCGCATCACCACGGTTATACCACGAATCGCGGCGGGCTCGCTGCCAGCTCACTGCGAATCGTGCCCAGCACAACCGGAGAAGCGCTTTATCTCGATTGGCTCCCTCGCCCCCTCCCTGCCCCGCTCGCTCCAGTCGGCGCTGGACCCCTCATGCGAAGCGCACTTGGGCCGCCCTTTGCCTGTCCATCATCCCTCTTGGGAGCAGAAAGATCCAACCAGACCAAAAAGGGTGGGGCTCTCAGGCTCGCTCAGGGCGTTCCCCCCCTCGAGGACCCCCCTGGACCAGGCCAAAATCGCCGGCTTCTCCCTGGTCTTGATAGTTGCGGCGTCCCCCCCTCCCCCCCTCCCTTTCCCGCCAGGCCGCGCCGTTCCAGACGCACGGGAAGGGTTTCGACCCGACGGTGAAGGGCGCCGGCAAGGGGAAAGGCCGACCCCGAAGGGGACGGGGCGCCAGCCGGCCAGGCAGGCAGGTAGGAGCAGGAGCAGGAGCAGGCAGAGGAGGTGTATCTCCTCCTTCTCCCCGCCTTTTCTTCCTCCTCCACCTCCTCCTCCTGAAGTTTACTTCTCCTCCTCCTCCTCCTCCTCCTCCTTCTCCTCCTCCTCCTCTTTCTCCTCCTCCTCCTCCTCCTCCTTCTCCTCCTCTCCCTCCTCCTCCTCCTCCTCTCCCTCCTCCTCCTCCTCCTCCTCCCCCCCTCCTCCTCCTCCTCTTCCACCTCCTCCTCCTCCTCCTCCTCCTCCTCCTCCTCCTCCTCCTCCTCCTCCTCCTCCTAGTCGATGTGTGGGGTTTGCAGATGCCGTTCGACAGTGCCTCATGTGCAGCTGTACATCAGCGGCCTACGCCCAACACCCAAGGCTCCTGGAGCAGGGGATCTGGGGGGCCACCATGGCCACGAACCGTTTTCCCGTTAGCACGTCAGCGTGGGCATATGATATTACATCCCGCTGGACTCCGAGTGAAGCGCTTGGGATCGAAAGACTAGTGAGCAGTGAGTTGAACGCACGGGCTGTGATCCTCTTTGGCGGCACGCGCAGATGGGCCTGGGCGGAAGCAGTGCAGAAGAACCACCTACGCCATCAAGTCGTGTTGCAGTTGGAGGAAAGGAGGGGCTATGGGTAAGCAGATATTGCGGAGGCAGCGTGCTCGTCAGCAGAAGGACGGATGAGACAGCGACGGCAGATCTACCGCCCGCCATCCCAGACGCAGGGCAGAACGGCCGGCACCCGACCGACCGACTCCGAAGCAGCATGGCCAAGCAGCGCATGGATGCGTCACCTCCTCCGACAAGTTTGGGAACTTGTCGGGGAAGGCCCGGGAAGCTTCTCAGAAGGCCGGGGGACTTCTGAGCCTGCCGAGAACCCAGACCCCCTCGGGTACTGAAAAAATCACGACGGGAGGTTTTTGGTTATTTTCGGCCTCTGGGGGCCCTTACCGGGCCTCGGGAGCGTCAAAAAACGACTCAGGATGCAAAGCCGGTCATGGGGAAAGGGTCGGGACCTCTGGGGGTCGACGTAATGAAAAAATCATGACGTCGGGGGTCTGGAAAGGCCCGTCCCTTCTCGCTTTCCCCCCCCCCCCCCGCGCGCCGCCGACCCAAGACCTCCCTGCCCTAGCGGGTGGAGAGCCCCAGATCTCCGATGCCGCGATCTCTTCGCAGCGCGGGCCCCGACGGTCTGGGCGCTCGGGGCCGGTGCTCTTTGGCAGTCCTGGGGCACAGCGAGGGCCCCTGGAAGCCGGAGACGGCCAGCAGATCCCGTCGCGTTTGTCTCCGCGAGCGAAGAACGGTATAAAATACACTTCTTCGCTGTCGGGGGCGCCTGTCCCTGGGCGGCCGGAAAGCTTATACCCCTACGGTGCCACCGTAAGGGTATAAAAACTTTCCAGCCGCCCTGGGACAGGCGCCCCCGACAGCGAAGAAGTTTATTTTATACCGTCCTTCGCCCGTGAATTTTCTGTCGACGGTACGTGTGAGAGACCCTACTGTAGGCTGGAGTGAGCTTAGGTGCGCGGCTCCAACGGCGCCCGCGGGGGCCCAACGCAACCGCGCAAGCCAGCACTGCCGCGCCGCATCAACTCGGGGGAGCGTAAGACCCGGGTTTGCCGGGACTCGGGTTCGCCATCGTTTTTTGACGACCGCGACTCGGATTTTGACGAGGAGGAGTTTTGTGGGATGTCTGCAGCGGGAGGCCTCGTCAAAATGCAGGCTCGGCCTCGTCATTTTTTTGACGACCTCGTCGGGGATTTCCGAGTCCCCCGTACCCGGGTCTTACGTCTCCCCGATCAACGATCGGCGGGACGCCACTGGTAAGGGTTTGTTGGCGCCATCGGGCAACCGCGGGATTCCGCCAATTGGACTCGAACGCCCCGAAGGGCACTTTACAGGCGCTGCGAACGCAGACGCTGCCCGTGGCCACCAAGATTCGGGGGTGGACAGAACCCCCAACAGTGACACGTCGATTAGTGGATTGTCCGTTTTCGGTTCTCGAGAGGGCGCCGTGGCCGTTATTTTCCAGGTTTGCGCCTACCAGGTTTGGGCCTCAGGTCGTTTTCACTAAACCACGTTTTACTAAAGGGGGGTCTGTCCATCCCCGAAAGATGCCGCCGCCGAGCCGCGTCGCGATGACGTCTGGCCAGGTCCGGCGTCATGGCAAAAAAATTGGCCCCATCCGCGGTCTTGGAATACGTCTGAAGATCTGTGTGTAAGGTGCAATCGTAAAGATCCCCATCGGTACAAAAAGATAACTGGTCAAACAGATTCACCAAAATTCAAAGACATTCAGAGATATCCAAACATAGTCAAGCCAGACATGGGATTTGGGCTCGGATTCGGGACTTTGTCCAGGGGGCGGAAAACGCGCCGTCTTGTCGACCGCCCCCCCCCCGGGAATCCAATGCACAGGGTAGGGTGCGCCGCGTATGCGTTGCTGTCGATTGAAAGGGGGGCAGGTCCAAACCTCGCGCGCTCAGACGCGAGCGCAATCGCGTGATCCGGGTGCCAACGCGAGGTCAGGCTCACTCCAAACGAAGAGATTACCCGACACCCTCGGGGCCAGCACCAGAGGTCACGCCAGCGTCGCTGGCCACTCCGGCGTGTCGTCGACTTCTGCGCGACGAGAGGAGGTCTCTGAGAGCCCCGGGCCCGGACGCTGGCAGCTCTGAGCGCGCCTTCCGCACCGACCGCGCTGGCTCCGCGCGCCCGCCGTGTCTGGTGACCCAGGGGGGGGGGGGCATCGGCCGTGCTGCACGCGCTCACTCGGCCCCGGCACGTCCAGAGCTCGAGAGAGCGCGCGAAGCTCAGAAGAATACCGCTCTTCCCGGAGCTCCTCGCGCCGCGAGCAGCAACACGACGCGTGGGTCTTGGCCGTGTTCGGCCTCCAGGGGTCTGGGCTGCTTCCGGGGAGCGTCGGAATCGATTCGGGATGCAAGCACGGGGCCCATGCAGGGAAAAGGGGCCTGGACTGTTCGGAGGTCCACGTCGTGAGCACAAGAGCACGGGCGTCATACCGTCTGGTTTCTTGCGCACGTCAAATGTGCTGCCCGCGAAACCATTAGTGAGCGGCTTTGCATGGCCCTGCCACGTGGCCTGACCCGTTCGCTCGCATGGCTCTCGCGCCTCTTTCTCCTGCTCATCCTGCTCCTGCGTCCACTCCTCCTCCTCCTCCTCATCCTCCTCCTGCAGATCATGCTTCTTCTTCCCTCAATTACAATCATACTTTTCTCCTCCCCCTCTCTCATTCCCCTCCCCGCCCCCTTCCGCTGCCTCCTTATTCTGCCGCTGCTGCCCTTATCCCCCCTGGCCCCACTTCCTGAGGGAGGAGGAGAGGAAGGCGGAGGGGAAGGGTCGGGAAGGAGGGGTGAAGTGGAGTGGAGTGGAGTGGAATGGGTGGAGTGGAGTGGACACCGATGCGATGCAGATTCTGAGTTCTGGGAACACCTGGACTGGAGAGCATTCGATCGCCGAGTCGATTGCTGAGCTCGGCTCAGGCCTTTGGGGTACATCCTCCTGGCAATCCTGTCGAGATACGCTCTGCCCGTGGCAGATGTCATGTACGCGCAAAGGCTTTTGAGGGTACGCAAGGCCTTATCGGCGATAGCCCCCATACACACACAATGCAAACCAAATCCGAGGGACCGAATGACCATTCAGGATGCGCGTAGTGTGGACCCAACCCCCGCGGCATGGAGTCGCGCCCCCTTCCTCGGCGGAGCGATAACCCCGTCTGCAGTGTATAGTCTGGGGCAGTCTGAGCCCACGAATTCTTCCACGGTGGCGAGGGTAGCAGATCCAGAGCAAGCGACGCGCCTCCGACCGCACTTTCGGCCAGGCGATGCCGAGACGGGAGGGCAGAGGTAGCGGCGGCAGCAGGCGGAGGAGGAGGAGGAGAAGGGGGAGGAGGAGGAGGAGGAGGAGGAGGAGGAGGAGGAGGAGGAGGAGGAGGAGGAGGAGCAGGAGCAGGAGCAGGAGCAGGAGCAGGAGGAGGAGCAGGAGGAGGAGCAGGGAGAAGGAGAAGGAGGAGGAGGAGGAGGAGAGGAGGAGAGGAGGAGGAGGAGGAGCAGGAGGGGGAGGAGGAGGAGGAGGAGGAGAGGAGGAGGAGGAGGAGGAGGAGGAGGAGGAGGAGGGGTCCCACATGGGGCACGGGGGCCTCGATGGGGCGTAGGGGGAGCAGGAGGAGGAGGAGGAGGAGGAGGAGGAGTAGGAGGAGGGAGGGGTCTCACAGGGACTTTGGAGGGGAGAGGAGGAGTAGGAGAGTAGGAGAGGAGGAGGAGGAGGAAGGAGGAGGAGGAGGAGGAGGAGGAGGAGGAGCAGCAGGAGGAGGAGGAGGAGGAGCAGGAGGAGCAGAGGAGGAGGAGGAGGAGGAGGAGGAGGAGCAGCAGCAGGAGCAGGAGGAGGAGGAGGAGGAGGAGGAGGAGGAGGAGGAGGAGGAGGGGTCTCACGTCCTCTTCCTCACGGTCGGCCTCCGGGATCTGATGCTGTCTGAGGCGGCTCGCAGGAGCCGCACGCGCGCTCTCCGCTCCCACGTCTCGGCACCCGGCGGCGGACGGCAGCGGCGGGCAGCCTTTTGCTTCGAGAGCGGCCGCGAGGGTCCGCGAGCGCTCGTCGGCCAGGAGGGTTTTGCCGCTGACCGCGCCGCGGTCGGCTCGTCGCTCGGCCACGTCGGTGGCCGTGAGGTGCGAGCGAGTCCACAGTGCCGGATCTTCAGACTGCCAGCGATTCAACATCAAGTCTCCAATCGGCTGCCACCCGCAGGAGGGGGAGGGGGAGAGGAGGGAGGGCACGAGCGGAGTGACGAGGGGAGGGAGGCAGACTAGGTCTGCTCGGGCCAAATCTGACATCCCACCCCTCCCTCCCATCCCTTTCCATTGCGGTGATTTTGTTCTCTATCCGCGGACGCGTGCTCACACGAGACCCCATCGTGTTCTGAGCGAGCCGAAAATGGCAGCTGCGCGCGCAGCAAGAGGAGGTGAGGACTGAGCAGGAGGATGAGCAGGAGGACAAGGAGGAGGAGGAAGGAGGAGGGAGGAGGACGAATAGCAGAAGCAGGGACCGGAATGGAAGCAGCGGGCGGTGCAGGAAGACCAGGGGAGGGCGGAGAAATGGAAATGAGGGAGGCGGCACTGATGTGGAAGGGGGCTCGGATCCAGAGAAAGTGGCCCGCGCGGGGGTGTGAGAGAGCGCCGTTCGGCACGACACGACGGGAGCGGAGCCGCCAGCCTACAATGAGGCCGCAACGCTGCAGCGGGAGTGCGATTTTGCAATGACCGGGAACGTTCGGGCTGGAAGACAGAATAAGAGCGACCGACTCGGCCGCATTGCGCTGTTGTAGAAGGACGGGGGGGCGAAGGATATGACGCTTGATGTTGTGCAGTCGGACCTCATGGCCGAAGTGCTGGGCCTGGAGTGGGGCTTACAGCAGTACTGCACAGCCTGCACCGTGGGGAGTACAGCGTGCAGGTCTGAGCACCTTGCGCCCATCGAGGAAGAAGGGAGATGTGAATGAGCACCTCCCTTCCCCCCGTCCTCTCCCCTCCAGACCCCCGACGCTGTGAGTTTTTTACAACCTCGGCCCTCAGAGGTGAGTCCCGATGCCGTGATTTTTTTCACAACACGAGGGGTTCTGGGTCTTGCACCTTTCGAGGAAGAAGGGGGATGTGAACGAGGACCTCCCTTCCCGCCCCAGACATGCGACGCCCTGACGCTTCCCGGGGACTGGCGTTTCGTCTTGAGCGGTTTTTGGACGGTCCCGAGGCCCGGCGAGGGACCCCCGGGGCCGGAAATAGCCAAACCTTTCCCGTCATGTGGCCGAAGTGGCCGAAGATAGCAAAAAAAAACAAAAAATACCGGAAGTGGCCGACATTTTACGACGCGATCCTGTCTGGGCCCCCTCCTCCTCTCCCCCTGCCCGCCCGGAGGTGCTGCCCTCCCCGCCGCCAGCGTGGCCGCCGCCGCTGGCGCCGCGGAGCCGCTGGACGCCGCCTCGCCGCTGCACCGGAACACGAAGGGCAACGCCTACGTACCCCCGCACCTGCGGAATCGCCCCGCGGCGCAGGGCGGGCCCAGCGGGGGGAGGGCCGGGCCTTAGTGGGCCCTGGAAACGACAGTGCCGTTTTTGTTACCGGTTCCGTTTTGCCGTTTTGGTTGCCGGTTCCGACGCCGTTTTTTTACCGGTTCCGTCGCCGTTTTTTGACCGGTTCTGGCTCCGGTTCCAATCCTGGAGCCGTTTTTTTGCCGTTTTTCGGTCGCCGTTTTTTGCCGTTTCCATTTTTAAGGGACACTTTTCTGGAAACGGTGAAAAAACAGCCCTGCCGTTTCCGGGGCCCACAAGGCTGGGCTCATCTCGATGCTCCCGATGCGATGCGATCCAAGGTTTCGAGGGCCTCCGATCTCTGGGCTACGATGTCCCAACACAGAGGCTTGCGAGCCTGCCGGTTTCCGTCGAATCGACCTTTCCCGATTCGGCTGCCAATTTCCGCCGATCCGACTTATTTCGATCGCCGGTCCGACTTATCGATTCGATTATGAGCTCTTACACCTTCCCTCTCCGCGAGGGCTCACAGACTGGCCGTGTTCTATCTCGAACCCGCGCGCTCGCAGGCACGAGTCGTCCCTCGCGCTCACTGGCCGTGTCCGGGCACCGTGCGGTGCTGTCTGGGCAGCCCAGATTTCTGACGCTGGGGCAAGTGGGGCCCAGGCTGCGCAGGAGGAGGGGGAGGAGGAGGAGGAGGAGGGGGAGGGGGAGGAGGGGGGAGGGGGAAGATGAGGAGAAGGAATAAGGAGGAGGGGGAGGCGGAGGGGAGGAGGAGGAGGAGGAGGAGGAGGGGAGAAGGAGGAGGAGGAGGAGGAGGAGGAGCAGCAGGCGAATGCGGAGAAGGGGGAGGGAGCAGGCGAATTCGGAGAAGGAAGAGGAGGAGGAGGAGGAGGAGGAGGAGGAGGAGGAGGAGGAGGAGGAGGAGGGAGGAAGAGGAGGAGAGAGAGGAGGAGGAGGAGGAGGAGGGAGGAGGAGGAGGAGGAGGAGGAGAGGAGGAGGAGGAGGAGGGGGAGGGGGAGGGGGAGGCAGCCAGGCAGCCCGCAGTGGCATAATTAGAGGGGCCCCCGCGGGCTTCGGCGGCCACCTGGCGCCGCGGGAGGGCTTCCGAGGGGCGCCAGCCGTACGCGCACACGGCTCCCTGGCCAGGCCAGGCCGTGTGGGGGCCCAGGATCGGTGTGGGTATATGCAGAAGAAGGAAAAGCGCAGTAAGCATAAAGCATACATGTAAACATACACATAAAACATACATGTAAGCATAGGAAGACATACACAACACATAAGCGTAAACCATACAAACATACAGTCATCACATACAATAAAGCAAGCATGTAAGCGTAGTAAAACATAAGCATACAACATACAACATACAGTAAGAAGGAACAGCGTAGTAAACATAAGCGTAGTAACCATGAACATAAAACTATCCCAGTGCGACCCTACCTAGGAGTTTGAGCCCCTAGGAAAGCAGCATTAGTAGTAACAGTAAAGCTAAGCTAAAGCTAAGCTAAAGCTAAGCTAAAGCTAAGCTAAGGCTAAGCTAAAGCTAAGCTAAGGCTAAGCTAACACTGAGCTAAAGCTAAGCTGAAGCTAAGCTAAAGCTAAGCTGAAGCTGAGCGAAAGCTAAGCTAAAGCTAAGCTAAGGCTAAGCTGAAGCTAAGCTAAAGCTAAGCTGAAGCTAAGCTAATTCTAAGCTAAAGCTAAGCTACAGCTAAGCTAAAGCTAAGCTAAAGCTAAGCTCAAGCTAAGCTAAAGCTAAGCTGAAGCGAAGCTGAAGCTAAGCTAAAGCTAAGCTAAAGCTAAGCTAAAGCTAAGCTAGCACTAAGCTAAAGCTAAGCTAACACTAAGCTGAGTATAAGCTGAAGCTAAGCTACAGCTAAGCCAAAGCTAAGCTAACACTAAGCTGAAACTAAGCTAAAGCTAAGCTAAAGCTAAGCTAAATCTAATATAAAGCTAAACTAAAGCTAAGCTAAGGCTAAGCTAACACTAAGCTAAAGCTAAGCTAAAGCTAAGCTGAAGTTAAGCTAAAGCTAAGCTAAAGCTAAGCTGAAGCTAAGCTAAAGCTAAGCTAAAGCTAAGCTAAGGCTAAGCTGAAGCTAAGCTAAAGTTAAGCTAAAGCTAAGCTAAAGCTAAAGCTAAAGCTAAAGCGGGGCGGGGGGAACCGCGGGGCGGGGACTGGGGGAACCGTCCGGGGCGGTTAGCACTGCCCGGCCCTTTAAGCAAAGAGAGTAAGAATCCTTCTAGGCAGAGCCTAGGTAGGGAACATACATGTGAAGTTTTGGCGCCCCTCAGCTCCACACGGGGCGGCGCCGACGGGGGGGGGCGACAGTTGAGCGCGCCGCCGGGTCTAGCTGAGAGAGATGGAGGCACATCGGGAGAGAAGCGGAGAGCAGTCGAGACGAGTGGATAGAAATGGAGGCGATCTAAGTAATCATCCTGGCCCCGAAGGTGGTTTGGCGATGTTTTGAGCGCCGTTTGGCTTGCAGAAGCGGCGGCCCGTCGCCCCCCCCCCCCCCATTTTCGCCCCCCCAAGCGGAGCTGCATGAGTATGCCTTTCAGGGTCCATTTCGATTTGATCGATCCGATTCGATGTCGTATTCGGCTGGCCCGATCCAATTGAGTTCCTCCATGCCAGCGATCAGATGCGGCCCGATGCCCGCACGGCGCTGCTTCGCATCCTCGCACAGCCGATCCGACACGACTTCGACTGCGTGCCGATGCAGCCCCTCCCGATGCACATCGCCGACTTGGTGAGATTTCCCCGACTCGGTGCTGGCTGGTCCTGCCTTCTTGGCCAGGCCAGCCTGCCCAGATGTCGGGCCGGGCGAAAGGGGGGGATTGGGAAAGGGGGGGGTACGAAATTTGCTGCATGCAGCTGGTTTCGGCCCCACCGAGGGGCCCATTCCTCGATACATGGCCGCCTCCCGGCGCCGGGAGGCGCCGGGAAAATCAGCTACGTGAGCTGATTCTCAAACCCCCCATTTGCTATCCCCCCCTTTCGCCCGACCCGAAGATGGCTTCCGGCGGCGGCTGCATCGGGATCCATGGTGGCCGGTCCTTGAGGGCACGGCGGCCGGCGCCGCGGCGAGCGGCGGAGGCGGCGCCGCGAGCGAGGCCCCTGCAGCGCCCCCGGGAGCGCGGCCTCGACGAGCGCCCCCAGGGCGGGGGCGGCCCGCGGCCCCGCTGGCGCGGGCGCTTCGGGCGACCCGGCGGCGGCGGAGGGCGCCGGCAGCCAGCCCCGGAGGGCCGCGCCTATGCGCCGCTCGCGCGGCGCCGCCGGCAGGCTGGCCGCCGGCGTGCCCGTGCCAGGCTGTAGGCAAGCGGCGCGGAGGAGGAACGCCTTTATTCCCTGCGGCGGGCGCGCCCCCTGCCTGGCGCCGACCCGTGCTCGCGGGCGACGGGCGCCTCTCCTCGCGCGCGCCCGCGCGGAGCTGACCGGGGCTCTCGGCGTCCGCCTCGCCGCAGCGGGTGGCTGGGCCAACCGCGCAGGGACGGTCGCGCCGCAGCGCTTTGGGGGTCGCTTGGCGCCGGCCTCCGCTTCAAGGAGGCGCGCGGGTCGCCTCCTGGCGGCCGCCGGGGCGCTCGTGGAGCGCGACGCGGCTGAGGCCACCGCGCGCGGGCGCGCGCTGCAGTGGCAGCAGGCTGCCGCCGAGGCCGCGCGGCTGGCCGAGCCTGCCTAGCGGCGCCTGGCGCTGCTGCGCCGCCGCGCTGCGGGCTGCGGCGGCGGCGCCCTCGGGGCTGCCGGGCCCCCCGGGCCCCCGGCCGCGCGGCGGGGGGGCGCGCCCCGCTAATTAGGTCGGGGCGCGCGGAGGCGCCGGCCCGGCCGCGCCTGCGCTGCTTGCTTCTGCTGCTGCCTTCTCTTCCCTCTCCCCCCCTCCCCTGCTGCTGCCATCTTCTTCCTTCAGCCACGGAGCGACCTTCTCGAGCTGGAAAAAACAGTGTGTGTGTGTGTGCGTGCGTGCGTGTGTGTGTGTGTGTGTGTGTGTGTATGCGTGCGCATGTGTTCGCGTTCGTGCGTGCGCGAGTGCACGTGTGCGTGTGTGCGTGTGTCGTGTGTGTGTGTGTGCGCGTGTGTGTGTGTGTGTGTGTGTGTGTGTGCGTGCGTGCGTGCGTGCGTGCGTGCGTGCGTGCGTGCGTGCGTGCAAGCGTGCGAGCGTGCGTGCGTGCGTGCGTGCGTGCGTGCGTGTGTGGGTGCGTGCGCGTTGGTGTGTGCGTGTGCGCGTGCGTTCGTGTGCGTGCTTGCGCGTGTGAACCTTTTGCGCGTGTGCGCACGTGTGTGCGTGTGCGCGTGTGCGCGTGTGTGCGCGTGCGCGCGTGTTCGTGTTTGTGTGTGTGTGCGCGTGTGCGCGTGTGCGCGTGTGCACGTGTGCGCATGCGTGCGTGCGGGCGCGTGTGCGCGTGTGCGCATGTGCGCATGTGGGGCGCGTGTGCGCGGGTGCGCGTGCGTGTGCGCGTGCGTGCGCGCGTGCGCGTGCGCGTGCGAGCGCGTGTGCGCGGGTGTGCGTGCGCGTGTTTTCGCGTGCGCGCTCGTGTGTGTGTGTGTGTGTGCGTGTGTGCGCGTGTGCGCGCGTGTGTGTGTGCGTGTGTGTGTGTGTTTTGGGGGGAGGGGGTGGGTCGACAAGGGCATCGCCGTCGGCCATCGGGGTAAATGTGCCCTGTGTCGGCTGGACAGTCTGCGTGCCCCTTCGGTGGCACGCCTGGGTACCACGCTTTCCCTCCACCCCTGAGGCAGGCGTTCCCGATGCAGCCTGCCGTGCCCCCCACACATGCGGAATCGACACGCGCCGCAGGGTGGGGTGCGTGCTTTCGGGTCGGCGGCGAGCGAGGGGGGGAAGTGGGAAGGAACAGGCCTTCTCAGAAGGTGGCGGGGCTTCCCAGAAGCCCTCCAGCCTTCTGATAAGTGATGTGGGTTTTCGGGGGAAGCGTCGACAACTGTTCAGACGGCCAGAGGACTTCGGAGCCTTCTGAGAAACGGTCCTTAATATGGGGGGAAGGAGAAGCGACATTAACATTACCAGGGGGGGGCACCTCCAGCGAGGAAGTCCGCGATGCTTTTACTAGCCGGGGATACTGGATGTCCCGAGCGAGAGGAGGGACCACACCATCAGGGTGACCCTCCCTGGCTCCTCCCGCTGGTGGTTTCTGGTGGTGTTGGTGTCGGTGTCTCATGTTCATATAACACACGTTTTGATTTATACGAATGGGGACGCACTGGCCCCCTCTGCAGATGGATCGCCGACGACAGGGGCTTGACAGGCACCCATCGCCCAGGCGCGTGCGGTGTCGCTGTCGGCGTCTTCTCTTGCCGATCTATCGGCAGAGTATTACTGATTCAATGTCGAAAGTTCCCAGCGGAGCCGATCCCCCTCTTCTGTTCCCCCCCCCCCTGTCTCCTACTTCTCCTCCTTCCTCTCCTCCTCCGCCTCCCCCTCCTCCTCCCCCTCCTCCTCCTCCACCTCCTCCTCCTCATCCCCCTCCTCCTCCTCCACCTCCTCCTCCTCCTCCTTTCCCTCCTCTTCCTCCTCCTCATCCTCCTCCTCCTCCTCCTCCTTCCCCTCTGCCTCCTCGTCCTCCTCTTCCCCCTCCTCATCCTCCTCCTGTTCTTCCTACTCCCCATCCAGGCGGGTGTCCTGCATCGTGGAGTCCTCCTGGAGATCAGGTGTAGTTTTCGCCCTAGTCCTCGGCACCCGCACGCGCCGCAGGAGCAGCGTCGTGTATGTCGTTGACGCTGTTGGGAGATTGCGAAATCTGCTGCATGCAGCTGGGCGCCAGGACAACCAGCCGATCACGTGAGCTGATTTGCTAACACCCTCTCCTTTGCTGTCCCCCCGTTCGTCCTCGCTGAGAGGCGAGGATGAAGATGCTTTCTCGGCGTAGGCAGAACAAGTATTCGCGAGTATTGGGAGGGGGGGAGAAGGAACACAGAGGATGGAGGGGGGGGATGTGAGTCCAAATCCCCTCCACCAGTCCTCGCACCGCCATGCGCCTCACCTCGTTTCTCTGTGCCATGCTGGAGGTGTCTCAGTTCTGTTCTGCAGAGCTGGATGCGACGTGCCGTGGGCTCTGCGCCCATGGGTTGCGCCCGCGCCCACGGCTTGCGCCGTGGACTGCCTCTGGGGTGCCATGCTTTTCTTCGTGGCCTTGGGTTTTCTTCGTGGCCTTTGTGTGAGGGCCGATTATTTTCCGTGGCCTTGCGCCCATCGGCGGCGCCACGGATTACTTCCAGGATGTCTGGGATTCTCCTTGGCCATCGGTTGCGCCGAAGGGCCAGTTGCGCCATGGATTCCCCAGGGGGGGGGCCCGGTTCAGCGTAGCAGCAGGGCTCGAGCGGCCCGTCGGCAGCGGCAGCGGCAAGCGGCGCTTGCAAGCCAATGTCGGCCGCAGGCCACAGCCAGCGGAGCCAGAGGCGCTCCACGGCGACACGTCTTCGGCCTCGGACGCAGCGGTCGGACCAGGGAGGGGGTGAAGGCCGACGGCATCGTCCGCCGCAGGACGGGAAGGTGACGGCCCTGCGGGAGCGCGGGCTTGCAGCTGGGGCGCTCCCGTGGGGCAGCGGCGCAGGCCCGCGGCAGGCCCTGCCTCGGCCGCGGCTCGGCCGGGGGCCCGGCTGGCGCAGCTGGGAGGTGCGCGCGATCGTCGGAGGCGTGCACGAGCGGGGTGCGGGTCAGGGCCGTGTGGGCAGCGTAGCCGGGGCCGCGCAGTCCCGCCCCCCCCCCCCCCTCACACTCGTCCGCGCACATGCCTCGGGCCACGATTCCCGAACCCTCTCTGCCTGGCCGCCGCCTCGGGCGCACTCGAGGTCTGCTGTTTTTTCCTCCGCCTCCACATTCATACACCTGTCCTCCTGCCTCCTTCTTATGCCTCGCCTCCTCCTTCTCCTCCTCCTCCTCCTTCTCCTCCTCCTCCTCCTCCTCCTCCTCCTCCTCCTCCTCCTCCTCCTCCTCCTCCTCCCCCCGTCCTCGGGCCGGGAGGTGCCCAAGACGCTCCGAAGAAGGAGGAGCCGAAGAAGGAGGAGGAGGCCAAGCCGCTTGAGGCACTGGAGTGCGAGCCGGTGGAGGGTGGGGTTCTGCCGCTGCAGTGCCTCCTCGGATGTCCTCTGCGGGAGCTGCTGCCGTTCGAGAGGAGGGCACGAAGAGGGGGGAATACTTTTCCAAGAGAGGCAATGGGAATCAGAGAGGGAAAAGGTGTACCCATACCGCTTTGGGCCTCCTGGGGAGCTCTCGTCGCCACCGCTGGATTCGTGCCTAGAAATCTTTGTCAGAACGCACCCCTCACCCCAGGGGAGGTCTGGGGAGTAGCGGTAGTGATTGGTACCTTTTGATTTCCCAAGAGAAGTTGTCTCGGGGGGGGGACAGGGATTCTATGGCACTCTAGGGGGGTCGTGAGGTTCGTGGGATCTGTCAGGATGAGGAGGTGGGGGGAGCTGGTCTTCTAGAGGAACTTCAGGGGGTTCCAGGGCTTCTCATGGGCTCCATGTAGGCCGCGGAGGTTCAAGGGTGCTTTCACCACGAGGCGGAAGAGGAGGAGGAGGAGGAGGAGGAGGAGAAGGAGGAGGACGAGGAGGAGGAGGTGGAGGAGGAGGAGGTGGAGGAGGAGGAGAAGGGGGAGTAGGAGGAGTAGGAGGAGGAGGAGGAGGAGGAGGAGGAGGAGGAGGAGGAGGAGGAGAGGAGGAGGAGGAGGAGGAGGATGGAGGAGGGAGGAGGAGGAGAACGAGGAGAAGAGGAGGAGGAGGAGGAGGAGGAGGAGGAGGAGGAGATGAGGAGGAAGAGGGAAAGGAGGAGGACCACAGTAAACCAAATATGCATAAACGATGCTGCAAACCATAATCCCGTTCTGAGTAAGTCCCATCATCGTTGGCCCCTACCAGCCATCGGTCTCACTACACGAAGCATCCCCTTTGAAACATTCGCACAGTTGGGCCTGCCATTTTGTCGATGGCCCCGCTTAAAAAAAAAAAAAAGGTAGCGCCTTGCATCTGGCAGCGCGTCATCAGGAACGCGAGAGACACGGATCATACACAGCGTCGGAGTAATCACCAAGTTTCCCCTTTCGAAGAAGGACCTCATCGACGCAATCTCATCGGGAAAGCCCATACACGTGCAAGATGGTTTCCCCGATTCGGTGGCCCACTTGGCGTATGACGCTTTGGTGCTGGCAGCCTCGCCATTGCGGTGGCTGTATATTCCATGAAGTGGCCATGGGTCACCCCCCCGAGACAGGAGAGAGGACGCCCTGGCGACAGATCGCCAGGCTGAGCTGGCGATCTCAGCGTTCGCAGGCGACACACGTCTTCGGACGTCCTCTCAGGCGATCTGGCTGAGGAAACGTCCGAGAGGACACCTTTCTTCACACGTATCCTATGAGAAAGGACACCCTGGCGACAGCTCCTTTCTCATAGGATAGCCTGCTCGCTGACCCCTGGCTGCCACTGGCCAGCCGAGACGCAGAAAGGGATCTGTGTGCTGTGGCGTCCCGTTCCCCTCTGCCCCTGCGCTCTCCAAGGGAGGCGGTCTCTGGCTCGCGTCGAGCTCTGTCTCGCTCGGTGTTGGCCAGCTCGCTGGTCGGGTCGGGCGGCCCTGGGGTCTTGGCAGCGCTGGCAGCTTCTCGGGGACCGCCACGCGATTGTACTCCCGTGCTGCTGATGGGCCTGCTTTCCACCACCACCACCACCTCTACCACAAGTTGGGGGGGGAAGTCGGTGGAGGATGAGGAGGAGGAGGAGGAGGAAGAAGAGGAAGATGAGGACACCTTCCCCCCTCCAACTCATGGTGGTGGTTGTGGTGGAAAACAGGCCCATCAGCTTACAGCAGCAAGATCATCTCTCGGTTCGAGCGCTGGCCGTTGTGACTTGGTAGTCGACGTGTTGCAGCATGTTTATGATTCCCCCGGGTGTGGTGAAACACCGATGGCACGAGATCGTGGAAGGGCTGTTTCTCGTCGATCTTGGCGCACTTCTCTCTGTGTGCGTTGTGCCCGATGGAGTGCCGGTCTCTATCGTACGTCCCCACCGCGCACCTGTTGGTCGGGCGCGCTGATGCAGCCGCCCATCTGCTGCCAGGCCATTGGCCTGGTCTGAGAAATACTTGGCCCCCACGTGCGTCTCGATCATGTCCACCACCTCGTACTTGAGGGCTGGGCGTCCAATGGAGGGCCAAGTGCGGGGGCCCCACTCTATCTTTCTGTGATACGGCCGAAGAGCACAGGTGGGGTGCTTCCTTTGTCCATCTCGGGCTTGTTGAACTTTGCGATCCGCTCGCTCTACAAGGGTGGGCTGCGGGTGCTGTTTGCCACCGGCTTGTGCCCTTGCTTCATCAGAAAGACGGCGTTCCTCCACCTGTTGCTCACCACTCACCAAACCACCCCAACCCAACCCGAAGGCCTCAATTTGACCTCCATTTCCAGTTGGGGGGGGTCGGGGAACATCGAGAAAGCACATATGGAACCCGTACCCCCCCCAACCCGAAATTCGGGTCTTCGGGTTGGGTTGGGGTGGTCTGGTAGGTAGTCAGTTGCTGATGCAGCTTCAGGGGCGCTGCCAGGGCAACCCGCGCCAGCGCCAGGAGCGTGCTCGACAGCAGCGGCCCGAGCGCGCCCTGCAGACCCAGGCCGTGAGCTCGGCCGTGCGCACGGCGCGCTGGAGCTCCTCGTTGGTGTCCATCTCGGCTTGGTCTCGAGCTGCGGCTGCTGCTCCTTCTCACCACCCACCAAACCACCCCAACCCAACCCGAAGGCTCAGATTTACCCTCGATTTCCAGTGGGGGGGGGTCGGGAAACATCGAAAAAACACGTGTGGAACCCTTACCCCCCCCAACCCGAAATTCGGGTCTTCGGGTTGGGTTGGGGTGGTCTGGTAGGTAGTCACCTTCGGCTCCGTCGCTTGCCGCATTGTCTGCATGGGCAGCTGCAGGAGCTGGGGCTGCTGCAGGTGCCGGGGCTGCTGCGCCAGCCCGAACCGGCGCGGCCGTCAGCAGGTGCGGCTTGCTTACGCTTCTTCCTGTTGGGGGGCGCTCTGGCCTGCCCAGCCTCGGTGAGGATCTTGGATCTCGTCATCGTGCTGGTCCAGCTCGGCCCACAGGGAGTTGTCAGGTGCGAGCGTTTCCTGCTGCTTCACGGCGGGATCTGTGGCGCCCCGCGCAGAGTTTAGTTTGGCCCAGGGGGACTCTTCTGCCTGAGCGCATGGCCGCTTGGGCCTGGACCAACTCGACTCCGGCCTGCAGGCGCTTGGCGCGCTTGTCGTCCAGCCTTTCCTCGGCGTCGGCGACCTCGCTGTCGGCCCGCTCCATGGCCTTCTCCTGAGGAGGCCTTGAACTAGTTTAAGCATCCCCTCCCTGTTTCTCTGAGCGGGGAATAACCCTGCCCCTCCTCCTCCTCCTCCTCCTCCTCCTTTTCCTCCTCCTCTTCTTGCTCTTCCTCCCCCCCTCCTCCCCCCCTCATCCCCCCTTCTCCTCCTCCTCCTCATCCTCCTCATCCTCCTCATCCTCCTCATCATCCTCCCCTCCTCCCCCCTCCGCCGTGGAGGAAGCAAGTCCGGCGAGAAGGGCGTCGAAGACAAATTTTAATTTCCGACTCTTGGGGGCTTCAGACCCCTAGAGGTGAAGAGGGATGGCCAGATACGCTCTGGAGGCGCTGCTCCTCTGTCTCGGCGACGCGCTCGGGCGGGGCGTTGATTCCGCTTTCGTGAGCTGGTCCGGGAGGCGCCCCGCCGCGCCAACCGTTGCACTTGGAGGCGAGGGCCCCGAGGAGGGCCGCGACGGACAGGTCGGGGGCGCTCTTCGGCCTGTCGTTCCGCGGCGCCTCTGGGAACTCGCTGTCCGTGGCTGCGGCTGCTGCTCGGAGGAGGAAACAGTACCCAGACCGCTGCCCGTCGCCCGCTTTCCTTTTTGTTTGGCCTCCTGAGTGGCACTCGTCGCCACCGATGGATTCGTCTCGAGATTCTGGTCAGAACGCGCCCTGGAAGAAGTCCGGGGAGCAGCGGTAGCGGTACCTCTTGGTCTGCCCAAACTTGTTGTTGTCCGTGGTTGTTGCTGCACTCTTGGTCGGTAGCAAATCAGGCGAACCTGGTGTACACCCTCTCAGTTCTGTCTTGAGCGTCTACTAGCGTCGATTTGCGTCTGGGAGTCGATGAGATAGCGCGAATTTAGCGTCGCCTAGCGTCGCCTTGCGTCGATTTAGCGTCGTCGATTTAGAGTCGACGAGCGTCGATTCGCAAGAGCCAGCAAGATGACATGGGAGGCTCCCATGAGCTTGCCACCGAACTCTTTTCGTGGCGACCTCCTGGGGCCCACTCCCTTTGAGGTGTGGACGGCTGCCGTACTTCTGGTTTGACTGCGGTGCCGCAGTTGTGGCAGGTGGAACGAGCGGTCCATGTCTACCTGAGTCTACACTGCTTGCGCAGTGCGTATCCTTGGGTTGCAATTCCGCTCGGCTGCGGACTGCGTGGCGATATAGAGGACCATTGGGACACGAGATATATAAATGTTTCTAATGAGCCGGCGAGGATATGCAACGACCCTCGCAGGGCAAGATAGCTGAAGACTGGGCTCGGATCAGAGTTACTCGTCGGTCGTTGAAAACATGTACTTTGGAAGCCCAAGTCCCAATCTGCTTTAGTCGCCTTCCTGCTTCCCCTTCCCTCCCTCTTAGGGGGTGGGCGGAAGCCGAATCTATGTTCAAAGCCTTCCTACCTCATGTTTCAACCCGCTTCGGACAATTCGCCTTTCGGTTGCCCCGATTCGCCTCATGCTGCTGCGGACTGCCACTGCCTCGCCGCCGACGACAAGAAGCTTTTACCCACTCCTTCCGACCGGCGGGTATCCATTTCGTCCGCTGTGAGAACCGGCAGCTGGAGCCGAGATGGCTTCGGGCCCCTCAGGTCCCCGGGGAGCTCTTCCCCTCACAGGGCGCGCGGACCGCTCCAGAGCCGCCGCGAGCGATGGGACAGGTCGGTCGGGACGGGTTCTGGATTGGCTTGGCAGGGTCAGGGGTAGAGGGGGGCGACGACTTCGCCCAGACACCCTCGCGTCCTGAAAAAAAACACGACGGAGGTGTGTCGCTATTTTCGGCCTCGGGGGGCCTTGACTGGGTCTCGGGACTGTGAAAGAAAAATAGTCCCGGGGACAGGGTCCCGACCTCTGGGGATCGGCGCTGTGGAACAAAAACACGTCGTCGGGGGTCAGATATAGCGGGGGGAAAGTCATGGTTGGGGCCATGATATCTCCCTGGGTGTCGTGGCCGCTCTTTTCTTATGTCAGTGCGCCCCTGGGCCCCCTCTGGGGCCGCGCACGTGCCTCGGAGCATGATTTGCACACACCCTTCTTGCTCGCCCCCCTCGGGGACGCCCCCGGCAGGTTTCCAAGACGGCAGGGCGAAACAAGGTCAGCTTGGACAGGATGGGACAAGGGTCAAAGGATGAAAAGGAGCCCATGCCGCTACGCATCTCTCGTCGCGGCTATCGGCTTCGTCTCGAAGTTTTGATTCTCATGCATCTTCAGAGCGGCCCGGGAAGCAGCGTTATCGTTTTTTTGTTCTGCCCCGCCAAATGCAGAACGCGACAGGTTGAGACAAGACAGGCCAAGACAGTCCCCTGGTCGGACCAATATGGCCCCAAGCCCCACGGCGCCCTGAGAGGGCTCGATGACGGCCCCAGAGCCTCCAGAGGTTGGCAAGACGCACGAAGACGGCCACCTAGCGGACCCCCAAGGGGCTCCCAAGATGCAAACATAATGTATCACCTTCGGGTTCTCGTGTGACTGGCCATGCTCGACTTCTCGGTCTTCAGGCTACCCAAGACGGCCCCAGCAGCGGCCCCAAGGCAGCCCACGACGGCCCAAGAGAGCTCTGACGACAGCCTTCAAGGGCCCCACGATGCTCCCGTGACTCGGGCCTCTGACTGCCGTTTGGGACGACTCGAGCCCCCGAGTGCGCTCGGCGAGGCGCAGATGCTAGAAAGCTTCCCGATGCGAAAAGTCCTTCAGGAACCAACGGAAGTCCTCCTCCGATGGAGGTGGGAGGGAGGGGGTCTGGCCCCTCCCCCTCCTCCTCCTCCTCCTCCTCCTCCTCCTGCTCCTGCTCCTCCTCCTCCTCCTCCTCCTCCTCCTCCTCCTCCTCCTCCTCCTCCTCCTCCTCCTCCTCCTCCCCTTGCTGTCTCTGTCGCCCGCGGGCAGACCGCCGCCCAGGCCGCAGAGTTCCCCAGCCTCGTCTCCGCGGTCGCCCCGAAGAAGGCGGCGAAGGCAAAGGCCGGCCCCGTCGTTGCCAAGGCGGGGGGCCGCCCCCCCCCCCTGCCCCCGCTTGTCAGGGGCCGTCAGCTGACCATCTCGCCACTCGCCGAACCCTCCTCCTACACCTTGGGCGATGCTTAAGAAAACCTAAGTTTTCGGCCAGAGTCTGGATTATTCTTAACTTGTCAATGTAAATCCCAAGATTTTGATAGAAGTTCTGGGTTTTTATTCCAGTTCTGAGACTCTGAATTTCTTAACCCATGGTTTCTTAAGCATTTCGCAGGGTGTACAGTCAAGCCGCATAGTGAGGATGAGCGGCTTGCCAAGGCTACCCTCGCATCCTTCCCCTGAGACACATCTTTGGCCGCTTTCGCCGGCCGCCCCCCGCTCGCGAAGTGCTGACATGGCCTTCCAAGGCCCTTCCAGCCTTACCGTGCGTCCTCACTAGGCGGGTTGGCTGCAGTTGTCCTGAAAACTAATGTCTTCCCAATTGATGGGCAGGGGACTCCACAACGCAGCAGCTGTTCAGAGGAGAAGAAGAGGAACCGAGGGAGGGAGGGGCAGCTCGCAGGCGACTTTTCTCCCCCACCCCCCGACCCCTCGACGAAAAAGGAAGCCGCTCAGAAAAGGAGGGGAGCCTTGGGATACACCCCACTGGGGCTATCCGGACGCACCCCCTATCGAGGATGGACGCCCCCCCTATCGTACCATATCCCAGGGTTGGGCCCTACATGCCTGGTCCGTCCGAACACCCCACGAAGCCTGGGCTCTCCCGGGTAAGCGTTGGACCACCTCGCCAGTCCTGGCTGGGTCGTAGGATCGCGCCGTATCGCCGATGCGTCGGCGATGCCACTCGATGTTGAGCCCGACTTTCTTTGCGCAGACGTCGTGGCCGCGCCGACGTCACCGATGCATCGCCGATGCATCGACGAGGTATCGCCGATGTATCGTTGATGCGGTGCGGTCCTGCGACCCCATCTAGTCGGATCCCATTCGGGAGGCCTCTACAGTCAACCCGCATAGGAAGGCTGGGCACCCTCCCCAAGGGTACCCTTGCATCCTTGCCTCCTCCTCCCATCCTTGGCGCGCGCGCCCCGCTCGAAGGGCCTCGAAACGGGCGTCCAAGGCCCTCGCATCCTCACCGCGCATCCTTCTCATACGGTTTGGCTGCACCAGCGCTGCCAGCGCAGCGCGTGGGCGCAAAGCTGGCCACCTCACCGAGCCCGGCCGAGTCCGGCCCCGGGGCCTCGGCGCGGGTCGGGGGCGGAAACGAGGGGGGTAATGACTACCTAGGGGGGGGGGGGATCTCGTGGCGGGGGCCATGATCTTTCCCCAGAGCTCGTGGCGCCCCTCCTTATATTCCATTACGTCCCCGGCCCCCCCGCTGGGCCGCGCGCGCGCCGCCGGTTATGATTTGCGCCCCCCCCTCTCGGACACCCCCCTCTTGGCCGCTCCCGAGCGGGCGAAGGGCGGCGCGCGGCGGCGCGGCCAGGGCGGTGGGAAGGGCGCGGCGGCGCTCCCCGGCATCCGACGCCGTGGGCTTTCGCAGCACGGGGCCCCAGCTGTTCGTCCTCCTCGTGCTCCTCCTCCTCCTCCTCCTCCTCTCTCCCTCCCTCCTCCTCCCCCCTCCTCCTCTCCTCCTCCTCCTGCTCCTCCTCCTCCTCCTCCTCCTCCTCCTGCTCCTCCTTCTCCTCCTCCTCCTCCTGCTCCTCCTCCTCCTCCCTCCTCCTCCTCCTCCTCCTCCTCCTCCTCCTCTCCTCCTCCTCCTCCTCCTCCCCCTCCCAAGACAGCGTGTCCGAGCGGCTAAGGAGATGGACGGCGACGTTCGCTCCTCCTCGTCCTCCCCTCCTCCTCGCCCTCCTTCTCATTGCCGTCCTCCTCCTGCTCCTCCTCCTCCTCCTCCTGCTCCTTCTCGTCCTCCCCTCCTCCATCGTTCGCTACAGATCTGCCGCCCTCCTCCTCGTCCTCCTTCCCCTCCTGATACACAGAGATCCGACGCTCCAGAAATGTTCGAGCGTTTTGTTGTTGTTGTTCCTTCTTTGTTTGTCTGTTTGTTTGTTTGTTTGTTTGTTTGTTTGTTTGTTTGTTTGTTTGTTTGTTTGTTTGTTTGCTGTTTTCGGCCTCCGGGGGCTCTCGCCGGGCCTCGGGACCGTCAAAGATACGACCCAGGGCGAACAACCGGCTCCAGGGAAGTGGTCCGACCTCCGGGGCCCGCGCATCGAAAAGAGTGGGGCAGCCGGGTGCCTGGGCCTGGAAGGCCCGATCATCACAGGCTTTGGACACCCGAAATGGGCACCGAAAGAATGGGCACTATGCCCAACAACAAATGTTGTCCCAAACCAACAGCAGCCGCGGTTTGGCAGGCGGCCTTCTGTCTCGAATGGACACAGGCCGCGGCGGCGTGGACAGCGGATCTGGTTCAGAATGAACAGGAACTGCTGTTGGGCATCGTGCCCATTCTTTCCGTGCCCATCTCGGGCGTCCAGACAGGCTCTCCCTCCGTTGGCTCTTCCGGGTGCCCTCGCCCCGGGAGGGTTTTCCAGCAGCTGCGCCTCGCCCCAGGGCGACCGGGGAGTGCCCGAAGGGCCCCGAAGGGCAGCCGGAGGCCCGAGGTATGACCCCGAGATCTGGCCAGCACGGGCCTCCTCTTTTGACGAGAACTCTCGGACTCCAGCAGTTGCGGAACGCCCCGGCTCGACTGTAAGCCCACCAGAGGATGTGCTGAGCACCTCGTGTGGTCTGCACGAGATGTTCTGAGAACAGTCCTGGCCGAGACTGCCGTGTTGTAACACGTCGGGCGCATGCTCGAAGAACTCTGTTTGTGTTCTTAGAACATCTTCCCAAACATGCGACATCTTGATTCTTCCACTACGGGGCTCCTGGAAGTCCCGACCCTTTCCCCTGGACCGGTTTTTCGTCCTCATCCGTTTTCTGACGGTCCCGAGGCCCGTCGAGGCCCCCCAGGGGCCGAAGGTAGCGAAAAGCCTCCCGTTCTGATTGTCTACGACGTGATCATGTCTGGGTTTGGATTATGAGAACATCTCGTGGTAGGCCTAGAGGAATGTCGGGACGGTCGGTCCCTGTTCCACTCGACTACACGTAAGAGTAACCTTTCGCAGGAGTGACCTTTGGTGCGGGCCCAGTATGGGCTCCTGTCAGGCCAAGCCCGAGTCCCCCGAACCCGAAGGCCCCAGTGGGGGGGGGGCGCGCATGCGTCCGCCACACCCAGCACAGCGTTTCGTGGCCCCATAGGGAGCTCCACCGAATGCGTTGCTCACAAAGACGGTACTCACAACTGCATATGGTTGGGTCCTTCGCCAGGCTAATTTTTTCAGGACGGCGTCCCTCGGAAGTCCCGACCCCTTCCCCGGGACCGGTTTCTCTTCCCGAGTGGTTGCTTGACGGTCCAGCGTTGCCCAGCGCGGGCCCCCCCCCAGGGCCGAACATGGCCAGAGACTGCCCCTCCTGAGTTGTCTTACCAGGCCAGCATGTCTGGGCCTGCGTCTCCCCGGGCCTCAGCCCCCCCCCCCCGCGGGCTTGGCATCGCTCCCCTCCCTCTCATTCTTCCAGACCTTCCGACCTGCGCGGAAGGTGAGGAAGGTGATGCGTGTCTTGAAATGTCTTTGGATGTCTTGGAATGTCTTGAATGTCTTTGGATGTCTGTGAATGTCTTTGCTTGTGTTCGTATCTCTTGTTAATTATGTGATGTTGTGTTGCTGATGAGTTGGTTTTGTCAATTTTGCTGGTACGCTGCAATGACGATGTTGGTAATGCTGATGGTGCGGATGATGGAAATCATGATGGTGATGATGCTGATGGCGATGGTGATGATGGTTACGATGGTTACGATGGTGATGATGATGATGATGATGATGATGATGATGATAACGACGATGATGATGATGATGTGCATGAGGATGCTGATCAGACAGATGGTGACGATGATAACGAAGATGATGATGCTTACAATGATGGTGGTGATGACGATGATGGTGATGATGCTGCTGATGGTGATGATGGTGCTGATGGCGATGGTGCTGATGGTGGTGATGGTGATCACGGTGATGTGCCTGATGATATGCAGATGATGGTGCTGATGATGATGGCAATGGTGCTTGCGATAATTATGATGGTGATGCTGATGGTGCTAATGATGATGATCACGATTCTGATGATGATGCTGATTATGATGGTAATGTCGATGACGACGACCAGACGAATGATGATGACGATGATGACGATGATGATGAGGGGGAAGAGGAGGGAGAGAGGAGGGGGAGAAGGCGAAGGGAGGAGGGATCGAGGGAGGGAGGAAAGGAAGGATCAGGATGAAGATGAGGATGGGGACGAGGACAGGGATGAGGATGAGGAAACCCGCAGGGGCGCGAAGGTGACCATGCCTGCCACCTCCTGTCATCCTCCCTCCCTCCCGCAGCTTCGGCTCGCGCCGCCTCGCCCCTGCCCGCGTCCTCGCCCTCGTCCTCGCCCTCGTCCTCCCCCTTGTCCGCGGGATGGACTCCCCCGCTGTGCTGGTCGCGGCCCTCCGGCTGCGGCCAGCCAGCGTGCCGCTGTGCGGGTGGACGAAGTCTGGCAAGAAGACAGGCCAGAGGGGGAAACGCCATACCGATGCCGATGCTCCCCGCTCACATCCTAACCTTCCGCAGGAAGGTGAGGAAGTGAGGGAGAAGCATCGGCATCGGTATTGTGTCTCTCCCCCACTAGGGGGCCTGTGCGACTTCCTGCTGACCAGCGGCTGGTGGAAGCCGCTGAAGCTGATGCAGCAGAAGCGGCCTTCGCTGCTGTGGGACCTCGACCTGTATGAGCAGGCCGTCCACGAGGCGCGAACGAGGAAGGAAGAGAGGAAGGAGGAAGGAGGAGAGCGATGAGGAGGAAAAAGAGGAAGAGGAGGCCCTCCCCCACTCCTAACATTCAAACCCTTGTTTCGATACCTTCCGCGGAAGTCCGAACGCATGGAAGGTGACAGTGGATCCACTTTAAGTGGATCCACTGTCACCTTCAATACGTTCACCCTCCACCTC